GGCAGTGGACTGGTGGAACGTTGAGCAGCGACTCCTTGATGACGGGCAGGTGGCTCAACCTTGGACTTCGTATATGACCGACGGAAGCATTACAAATGACACCTCACACAGACAAGTGGCACCAGGACCGCCAGTCAGTCGACTCTCCACATTCTCTGCCTGCCACATCGGCGACCGACCATATGCCTTGGGCCAAGTGGCACAGCACCGACCGTTATCAATTCCAAGTTCACCCAATGCCCAACACAGCTGACACTATGATAGCTGCTGTGAAAGGTACTGCCTCCTTCCAATGAAAGCTGATCTGTTTCCATGCGACCAGCTGATCCTGCAACGACTCCTGCTTCTTGAGCAGGTCTGAGATCTCGGTTGTTCTCGACCGGCCAATCATACAAACAGGTCTTCAGGTCAAGGATAATCAGTCAGTCAACCAACTAAATAATAAATCAGCCGAAGATCTGAATGGGCCATCTGCACTGTTCCAGAAGCATCGACCGGCGGCTGAGGCTGAGGAATAGGCGTAAGCGGAGGGACCGACGGGAAGGGCAATGGCAAAGGTGGCAACGGCGGAAGTGGAGGCGGAAGGAGAGGCGGCAGTGACGACGCCGGGCGGACCGGCGGCATAGAAGGCATAGAAGGCATAGAAGGCATAAAGCCGCCATGGCCACGTCGTTCCTGCACAAATCAACATCTTGACACACACAACATAAGATATACACAGCTGAACTGCACCCGAACTGCACCTGACCTGCACCTGAACAGCACCAATGTATACAATCTCGAAACCTGAACTGCACCTGAACTGCACCTGAACTGCACCTCAACTGCACCTGATGACAACATGTGGTATTGCAAGCCAAGCCTCGCCATCATCGACCGGCTTCGTGGTTTTCCTGTTATTCTTCTTCTCGAAGCAAAACTCCATGAAGGTCCGCTTCTTCTGCTGGGACCGGCTCTTAGTTGCACAGACACGACACAGTCTGTCAGTCAGCTGGAATCGACCGACAAGCTAGTTTAGCCAAGCGACATTGGGGTCAGGCGTCTGGAACTTGCTGCCTTTCTTTTTGACCGGCTGATCAGCACTGCCACTTGCAGGCTCAGCGACCGGCTGATCAGCAGCACTGCCACTTGCAGGCTCAGCCGGCTCAACATCCGCCTTGCCGACCGACTCGGTATCGCCCTCCTCAGACACCTCAGTCAGGAGCTCTGCGACCGCCTCGGCTGATCTCTTCTTCTTCTCCTCCCTGACCTGTTTCCTGGATTTTTTTGCGACCGTCTTCTCGTCCTTGGCCTCCTTGTCACCCTTCTTGTCCTTCTTGTGCCTGTCGACCGTCTTCTTGTCCCTGGCCTTGGCGTCGCCCTTCTTGTCCTTGTTCTGCCTATCCTCTTCATCGGCATCTGCCATGGCGACCAACACGTGAATGGAGGGCACTACTGTTTATAATGTGAAACACAACACACACTTCAATGCTGACCGACGTTATGTTCATGTCGCCTGGCTGCCAACCATGTGTTCAGCACACTTGACAGAAGTGGCTGGTGACCGGCAATTGCGAGTAAAGCTGCGGAGCACTTCACTTGCAAAGCACAGAGTCCTGAGCCGGTACGTTGTCGACGACCGGCGCATCACGAGATGCGAGATGCTCCCTCCAGCACCTGAAGGACATAAAGCCGACAGTCACAAACTTGAAAGCATCTTTGTGCTCAGCTCCTGCACCGACCGGCAACTCGGCCAGAAAAAATCACTGAACCTGGGCGAGAATATGCACGAGCTAGCATCCCGAACTAGTGGGCCAAGGATGACCTCAGGTCCCAGCGTCGACAGGCAATAAAAGCACCGAGGAATGCTGCTCCCAGATGTGATCGAACTGACTGAAACAGTCAGCTCGATCAAATCTGGGAGTAGCACGGCCAGCACCAGGAAAGAAGGATGCCTTGAATCGATGTATGCTTCAAATATAATCATGACTCCAAAGCTCAGCCCCCAGCTCACCTCCCGGACCGGCGAAGGCCTGCCCAAGCTTACATCTGGAACTCACCGGCCAACCTATTACCTTAGGCCCCAGCATCGACCGGCTAGGCGATGAGAAGCGCCTGCAAGACTAAGAGAGGTCAGGAGTCACACAACTGGGTGACTCGAAACCTCAGCCCCCAGCAGTCAATGTCCTCCTCCAGCAAGGAGCCCTGCACGAGCTTACATCTGGTATCTGGAATGTGAAGAAGGGACAACCTATGACTTAGGGCCAAGCTTGGACCGGCAGGCAGAAGACGACAAAATGGGCCTGTGTCTGTCTGTGCATCATCGGCTCGACTGACCGGCTGCCCCCAAAATCTCAGAGCCACACAGACAAACCGTGCTCGATTGATGGTGGCCTGGGCGAGCAGAGCTTTCTGTCTTGCGGCTGCACATTGCAACTGAGGGTCCAGCAAGCCACCCTCGTCGCGACCGACAAGACACGTGACCAACCATAGGTCAGGCCTCAGGCAGTGGTTTGCAGACGTGAAGTCGACCGGCAAAAATCCGCGTCCTGCAGGCCCTGCACAAACACACCGGGACCGAAGTCGACCGGCAAGCGATGTGACACAGGGCGCCATGGACCCGGGTCCCACAGCTAGCCCTGTGTCCTGCCTGAGTGCCGGGACCTAAGTCGACCGGCGAGCTCAGGAGTGCACCGGGACCGAAGTCGACCGGCAAGCGATGTGACACAGGGCGCCGTGGACCGGGGTCCCGCAGCTAGCCCTGTGTCGTGCCTGAGCGCCGGGACCGAAGTCGACCGGCGAGCTCAGGAGTGCACCGGAACCGAAGTTGACCGGCAAGCGATGTGACACAGGGCGCCGTGGACCGGGGTCCCGCAGCTAGCCCTGTGTCGTGCCTGAGCGCCGGGACCGAAGTCGACCGGCGAGCTCAGGAGTGCACCGGGACCGAAGTCGACCGGCAAGCGATGTGGCACAAAGCACTGCGGACCGGAGTCACACAGCGAGCTCTGTGCCATGCCTGAGTACCGGGACCGAAGTCGACCGGCGAGCTCAGGAGTGCACCGGGACCGAAGTCGACCGGCAAGCGATGTGGCACAAAGCACTGCGGACCGGAGTCACACAGCGAGCTCTGTGCCATGCCTGAGTACCGGGACCGAAGTCGACCGGCAAGCCCAGGAGTGCACCGGGACCGAAGTCGACCGGCAAGCTCAACTCAGCAACAGCAGCACCGGGACCGAAGTCGACCGGCCAGCTGCTGCATCACGAACGTGACCGACGAGGGGGGTTTGAGGACTTAGGGCTTAGGGCCTTAGGGTTCAGGGTGCCGACCGACCTAAAAAACCCAATCCTAAATAATCCGAAGCAAATGCAAACTCCAACCTTACCAGCAAATCCGAAACCACATCCTTTAACCCACACCCGATCCAAACAACGCAAAAAATCACTCGACCGACCACACTAAAACACCCTGAACCACTAGCCTAACTTAAACCCCAAACCCCATACTGGGGCATCCGGCCCATGGCGTCAGGATGATCTTCTCGACCGGCAAGCTTGAGTTTAGGGGTATTGCTGTAGGGCTTGAAGGTTAATGGTTTTCATCTTCTGTGTTATTTATTTTAGGCTTTGAGTTTGGGGGTACAAGCATTAATTACAACCGGCGGGCTGTTGGTAGTAAGGGTTGTTGAGATATGTGGGCTATTGGGGCCTTAAGGTTTTAATACCCAAGTGAGGATTTACGTGCCGCCCTGCCCCCCCCCTCCCCCTCCCTATGTATGGATCCTGCCCTTTACGACCGTCCCGTTAAGTGAGGAGGACTGGGGCCCCCAGCCTCCCTCACTTAATGGAACGGCTGAACCAAAAAGATAAACGACCGGCAGGTGGACCCAAGCTGTTTTAGCAAAAAAGATAAACGACCGGCAGGTGGAGGCAAGCTGTTTTAGCAAATGCAGTTAATCAGCTCACACGAAAACGGTTTCACCACTTCCCCTAAAAAACCTTACAGCTCAACCCTGTAGAACCCTAGCAAAAAATATCATTTTAGCTGTTTCTTAGGGATTATAATAGCCAAAAATTAAAAATTATTTCTAAGTACCCCTAAGAATGTAGGAACCTGATTGAGAGACCTTGGGCCTTTATTAGTGTTCCTCCAATGAATCCAACTATTTTGGGGTTAAAGGCCAGTTATAGGCCCCGGGTTTCTCAATCAGGCTCCTACATTAGTCGTCATTGGGTTGTTCCAGGAAGTTAGTTTCTGGTCCTCTTCGTCAGCTCATGTTTGAGCCGACTAGGGCTGAGGTGTACTGCAAGGGCTTAGGGTTTAGGTTTTAGGGTTGAGGTGTACCTCAATGGCAAGCTCGGCGAGCCGTTGCTGGGATGCCCAAGCCCTACAACCTCTCTGAAGCCTAACCTTGTCGCATGCTCCAAGACAGGGTTTGTGAGATTAGCTGGCATGTGATTTGTGATCTAAACCCTTAAAAGGCCGTAGAACCCTAAACCCTAAACCCTAAAGCCCTAAACCCTAAAACCCTAAACCCTAAAGCCCTAAACCCTAAAACCCTAAACCCTAAAGCCCTAAACCCTAAAACCCTAAACCCTAAACCCTAAAACCCTAAACCCTAAACCCTAAAACCCTAAACCCTAAACCCTAAAACCCTAAACCCTAAACCCTAAAAAACCCTAAAACCCTAAACCCTAAAACCCTAAAACCCTAAACCCTAAACCCTAAAACCCTAAACCTAAACCCTAAAACCCTAAACCCTAAAGCCCTAAACCCTAAACCCTAAAACCCTAAACCCTAAACCCAAACCCTAAAACCCTAAACCTAAAGCCCTAAAGCCCTAAACCCTAAAACCCTAAACCCCTAAACCCTAAAACCCTAAAGCCCCTAAACCCTAAAACCCTTGACCCTAAAACTCCAACCTCGAAGCCGGAAACTTCGATCTTCTTCCTCGAGACCTTCTGCAGATACCTCGACTCCTCCACTCCTAAGAGACTTTGAACGCAAGTGCCAGGGACAGATCCTGAACTTCGTCAAACTTCGAAAGCAGCATGGAGAGAAACCTCGGCACTTGCAACATCAGGATGTTTGGCTTTGCGTGTTTAGGGTGTGCAACAGACATGATAGATAGGGCACGCGGAAGGGTTACAACAGCATGATATCTCATGCATGTAAAGTACATGGAAAAGCGCTTAGTCTTGACTCGAACCTCGCTTTGCTGAAGCTGAACACCAGGCCCTGCGCAAAATCCTACAGCTTCAACCGGGTTCAACCTGCGAAGTAGGCAAGTCTAAACCAGAACCCTCGCTGCTAAACCGCACCCATGCCTGCATCATCAAATCGTGGCAAGCACGCACGGACAATGGCGATTTGCGGACTCTGAATCCAAAACATTCAGTCTGGGATACCAAATGCTCAATATAGGACATACTACTACTCCTGCCAGTTACCAGTCATATGTGCTAGCAGCAGAATAGAACATGCGCAAACGCATTCCAATATAAGTACACTTTAGCCTATGATCACCGTGCTCCGGGACGGTCAAGTTCTGAAACCACCGAGGCATCCGCAGGCTGAGAAAAAGGATCTGCCCAAAGATGATCAACAAGACCTGGCAACTGTCAACTTCCCCAACGACCGCCCCACACATATTCAGTGTGCAGTTTGTCTGTGTACACACATATACAAACATATATATATATATATGCGTACATATAAACCGAATACATATACATGTACATAAGCATAAGCATAAATGTGTATACATATATATATATATATACATAATGTACATGGACATCTGCCCATATACATATACCTATACCTATACATATACATGTTTATATGGCGTATACTTTCTATACAGGAGAACATATATATATATATATATATATATATGTATACATATATATATATGCATAGGAATATATATAGATATATATATATACACACATCCTTTCTTCCCCATGTATTCATGTATCTAGGTGTTTGATGCTTGGTTTAGAGCTGTTGAATCTTATGTGCGGTTACGATATCTAAGACTATAACTTCGGCCACACATTCATATGTCCACGTACATATCTACTCGTCATGTCTCCTCCGTCTCGGTCTTCGGGACTAGGATTCGCTGAACCGTTGTTTTCTAAACCTAAGAGTGACCTAGGAACAAAGGGGTGCTCTTTTGGTTTAAAGGGGGTTAGAAGGGAACCTGAAACCTAAAAGAGTGAAAAAAGGGCTTACTCTGGCTCCTGTTTTCTTGGTGATGTCTGCAGCTGTGTCGGCCCCCGTGAATTTTCAATTCCGAAAGGGAACCCTGTGCATAATGTAGACCCTGATTAAGCAATCCCCTTGCTATTACCGGCCACAGCATTCGGATCATGTATATGACCCCTTTCAAGGCGTATTCATCAGGCGTCTACTTACTCAGCACCACCCCCCTGATAGAAGCCCTACTTCGATCCATTGGAGGCCAAATCTGTTGGTAATACTGTCAGCTGTGTGTCCGAATTTTTTCTTGCAAAACCCTCTGATACTGACGTAGGATTGCCGAACCTTCCTTCTAACCCACAGCCTTGTGATCTAGCTTAATTATGGCTTATGACAACACAAGCTAAGCAGTTTTGAGATCCATCATCCTCCACCGCGCTTCTCCGGCTGCGTTCACAGCGGTGGCGAAGTCAGCGATTTCGACTTCACTCGAAGTCATACCCCGCATTTCTTACAGAATTTGTCGAGATTCATGTGAGGACAGATTTCCCAGTCGGTCCGTGAGACTGAGGGCAGAGTAAGTGTGGGAGGCAAGGAGAAAAGACATCGAGTCTTTCGCCAAAAATGGCCACGACATGGTGTTTTCAGGTGGTCGACATGTTCATATCGGAGCAGTCGAACGTACGAAACGCTCTCGCTGTCACTTCGAACACAAGCGTTCTGCACAACAACCACACCCCAAACGGCCCTCCAAAGACTTGAAGACGTCATGATTAATACCGATAGCCACTATCAGCAACACCACTTGAACCGAGAATCAGAAAGAATGTAAAACCAGCTATCATCGGGTAACCACCTGTCTCTCGGAGCCTCTTTTCAGGACAGCCTTTTTGGCAAACAATTAAAGCCTACAACCCTGGACCCTTGGCTTAATCTCTAAACCAGAGAGTGTCCGAACGTGGATGAACATGCTGGGAAGGCAAAGAATGCCGCGTAGGCCCAGTTCTGAGCCCGCATACCGGCCTTGTGTACGGTCAGGGTTCGGGCTCAGGGGTGGGGTTTAGCATCTAGGGGGCGGGGTTCGGATTTAGGGGTTTTGAGGGTAGAGGGTTTATGGGTTTGGGGGCATTTCAGCATTAGGGTTGCAAGCTTTTCAAAGCTTCACGCGCGGAGCGGGGATGGTTTCGGGCTGAGGGCTCGAGGTGCATGATCTGAACTACTTGGACGTCGAGCCCAATGTAGCTACAAGTGGCTTACTCCGTTAAAGGTAGGACATACTGCAATATGTAAACCCACTCTTAGAGAAGGGAACCTCTGTCCGCACCTCTTGCCACTCAAGAAGCATGTGCACAGTGCAGGTAACCGAGAAACCCTACACCCTAAACCCTATGTAAAAATAGAGGTCAAAACACTCCCTAACATTGAACAAAATCTTAACTTCCAGAGGGTCCATATCCACTACCATTAAAAGAATTAGGTCCCCGAAGGCAATAGGGATGGTATTTTGGGACCTTATTCCATAATGGTAGTATATATATGGACCCTCCTCTGGAGCTGTAGCAAAAGCGACTCGCACCAAACGCCACATGGGCTCTGGGCCGGGCATCTTGCTGTCGGCCTCCGCTGTCTGCATCTCCGACTCGATGTTATGTTTCTTTTCACATCTTCGGTTCGTCGCTTAAAGTTCTCAGCTTTTGGAAAACCCTGCACCCGAAAGCCCTAAACCCTAAGCCCCCTTCACACTGAATCTGCCGAACACCCTTGATGTTGAGGCTTGAAGCGTGCGGGTTGGATCCGGAAATCAAGCAGTTTGAGCTCCCGGCATACATGATGGTGTTCCAGTTTTCTCCTGCGGCCGGAGTGAGGGATCACTGATCACGGGCCCCCTTCCAAACCATGACTCACTAAGCCGCCCGATACTCCAAGTACTGGCCCCGAAACAATGGAATCCTACAAACCCCCACCTAAACCCTTGAATACCGAAAAGCAGAGTTTAGAAGGCTTTCAACCTAGGTCAGCGACGGCCCGTTCAGATGAGGTTTCGAGCGATGGGCCTTGGACCGGGTTTTGAAGTTCGGGCTAATTACAGGTGCTGCGGTGGTTTTGCAGAACTTTATGTGGAATTGAGATACTTACCGCTATGAGGGTTCCCTATATGAGACCTAAACACTGTATATGACTATAGGCTTGTGTCAGGGTTTTATGAGCTGCCACAGAGTGCTTCCCATAATGCCATAGGGATTTCATGAGAGTTTGATTGGATTTGCTGAGGCCCTGTATCGAACCGGCCCAGAGAATTCAAGTCCGAAACCCTCGAGCCGGACGCTTTAAGCTTTGCGCTACTTGGAGGATCATGGGACTTAGTAAGTAAGGTTATAAGTACCCTATTTGGGGTTATAAGTATAGTTACCTTAATTGCAACCCTAGTTACCAAGTCCCATGACCCTTTAAGTATATTGCCACTACACTACCGTGCGCACTGTGCAAGATGTTCTACAAGCCGATGACTGGGGAGCAGCAAGGCCTGCAAAAAGTTCCACCACCCCCCCCCCCTGCCACACTGCCCAACTTAAGCCTCGATATCAAAAGGACTGGGGCTTGTGTACTGAAAAGGCCTTGTGTGTATATATGTATATATGTTTGTACAGGTACGTATGCATGTATTCATATATGTATAATGGTATATATAAATACAAATACAAATACATATATATATATATATACACACACATATTTGCATAAATATATATATATATGCAGTACTAAAAGTTTTGCGGGACCTATAATATGGAATGCTGTGACGAGGTATTCAGACCCCCGATGTCACCGATCCGGGCCGCTCCTGTCATGATCTGGAAGATAGAGACCTCGTCTTTCTGATTTCTGGCTTCTGGAAAGGGCGGGCTCCAAGTTAGAAGTGCCAAGAAGCAACATGGAGAAATGAAGGCCCTAAACCCTAAACCCCAAACCCTAAACCCCAAACCCTAAACCCCAAACCCCAAACCCCAGACCCTAAACCCTACTACTTAAGCGTCAACAAACAAATCCCGCGAGCTTCAAGAGGGAAGATCCTACAGTCTGATTTATAGGGCCCCCAAAGAAGCACATAAGCACAAATCGGGAGGGGGATATCCCATATAAACCTCCTCGTAATGAAGCTCAATAAGGTAGGGATATCCCTGTAAAATGCTGACACTTATGTGCTTTTGGGGTCCCTAAATATAGAAGCTTGGATAGCTAGTAATACGTTTGATGATATAAATCCTAGGGTTCCTTTAAAGGGATCTACAAGGGTGCCTTTTAAGGATTCCTTTAAGATCTCTATAGGGTTTTAGGGTTTGGGGTTTAGGTTGATGATATAAACCCGGCATTACCTTAAGGGCCCTAAACTGTGGGAATTATGGTCTATTCCTTGCTATGGGTAATGCGACATTCCTAGCCCCAAAACCCGGTTCTAAGTAGCAAGGCCTCTGTGGCGTCTGTGCTATATCAACGGCTCTGTTGTAGAGACTCTCACAGAGTCGTGTGCACTTTGAGGCTCATGGGAGGGGAGCTTCCATGTTCACCGCAGGCTTCCGCATCAGAATCAGGGCTTAGGGCTTTTGGGCGGCGATTTAGGGCTGAGGGTTTGGCTTAGGGGCTTGAGAAGCTGAACTGCAAAGGCAGCCTCCAAGAGCTACATGGCTTCTTGCTACGGTTTCAACACGGTTTGCTGGGAACCGCAAAGCCTCAGCCTAAAGCCGTGAAGCCGTAAACTGGGCCCACGACCAAAGACCACAGGAAGGTGTCGAAATGAGCGCGTGGTATGCAGTCCTTCGGGAAGCACAGGTTGGGTGCAGGGGAAGTACGGAAATAGCGTAACTTATTCATCAAACCTCTTATTAATTGAACATGAGGACCTGGAGGTGATGCGACTCGGGTTTCTCCTTCAGCAGCCAGGGCTCGTGGCTCAGGGCTCAGGGTTGCTAAGCATTCGGGTTTTGGATCTTGTTTTCTGAGACCTGGGAAGGGCAGCATCGGCCGGCTGAGGACTTTGGCTATGTAGAAACCTGATTCGGAAACCTTGGGTTCTTTTGATGCGGACAATATTTTGAGATTTGTGTTTAAGGGTGCATTGGGACTTTCACACTGCCAACTCTATTGGGATTATAGGACCAGGGTTTCTTAATCAGGTTCCTACATTAGTCCAAAATCTCGGCTTGGAAGGAGATCGAATCTATCTGCCGGATGAGACGCATGTCGACGAAAGACCACCAACCAGCAATCTCGGTGCTACTTGCTGAAACCTTGCGCAGCCTGATTCCCGATGTGCCACCCGGAACTGCTCTACCGCTTCCTGATGCGGTGATTCGGCTAATAGCTTGACGCTCCTGTCGGAAAGCCTCGTCGAGACCCTCTGTCCCACCGCACCTCGGCTTAGGTGCAATAGGCGTATGGGTTTTAGGGTTTAGGGTTTATAAGGCTTGGCGTTGAGGGAGGGTCATCCTCAGCTTGTAAGCCTTATGGGGTTCCGGGACAGGATCGAAAAGTTTTTGAAGCCGGTGGATCACTTCACACTTCTAGGCGCTGAAGCCTATGATGGCTTCAACAGAAGTGGCTAGCGACCTTCGAAAGGTGCAGACTCGGGCTCAATGTTTAGGATTTCGGGTTTGGGTTTAGGGCTTTCCGGTCCGTATCTTGCAATCCGCCCATCAGCGGTGAAGACTTTCCCAAAGGGTCCTAAGTACCTAATAGTACCTCTATATATACACATATGTATGTATATTATATATATATATATGTAAAATGTAGGGCTCCTATATTCGGAAATTCTATTGTTATTTGGGGAAGTATCCCCCCATAACACTACCTGGGACCCTTTGGGTGTTAGAGCTTGCAGTTGAAGGCTTCCTGGGTTCTACCCTGAACCCTACACCCTAAAACCCCTAAACCCATAAACCCTAACCCCTAAACCCTAACCCCTAACCCTAAACCCCAAAACCCTAAACCCTATACCCTAAACCCTAACCCCTAAACCGTGGAGACAGAACCGTAGACCTCAGCCCTCAAAAACCCCTTAAGAATCAGGGCATCCTTGCATCCACCTGCTTGAAGCTCTTTATGCGAGCGGTTGTGGCTCTTATCCTTGGGATCTGACCTAACGGTAAGTTGCGTCAGGGGCCGGTAGGGCATGAGGTGCCGCAAAGCTAGAGTCGAAGGATATGAGGGCCTCCGGCTGCTGCACATCTGGGGCTGTAGGGCCTAATCTGCCAATGAGAATGGCGTTTGAAGCGAAGGCGACACTGACATTGCCACGGCCTGGGCACCTAGCCATTGCACAGCTCGACTTATAAACTAGCTAAATTGAAATGCACATCACAAACCAAACCCTAAACCTTACTTCCCAAAGTTGCGAAGTCCTCAACCCCACACTCAAAGCCCTTATATAACCTTAACTCACGCTCCGAGACCAGGCTATACCGAACTTAGAACCCTGGCATTTTTTTTTAAATTTCACCTGTTTCTTAGGGATTATAATAACCAAAAATTAAAAAATATTTCTAAGTACCCCTAAGCAAGCCCATGTCGTCGGGACCCCGACCATGCTCCGCCCTGATCGGGGCTCACCTCCGCCAAGGTATCCACATCCTGGCCACCCAAACCCAGAGAGCCCAATACCCCTCAATTAAGGAATACCTAGGGTTCCTTAAACGGGCTCCTTAAAGGGATCTATAAAGGGGGTCTATAAGGGAATTAAGGAATATGGCTCAAATTATACAGGGCTTCATATGAGGATTTAAGCTATATTCCTTAATTAAGGGGTATTGGGCTCTCTGGGAACTGCAACCTTGGATCCCATGCGTCAACAAGCGATAAACCGTACCCCTTGAACGCTAAACCCTAATCAAGCTTAAACCCTAAACCCCAAACGCTTAGAGCTGTAAATTAAAGCACCCAAAGAGACCCTAAAAGAACAAGCATAGAAACCTTTTGGTTTAGGCCTCCCTTGTGACCCTGGTGTCACATGGCATAGGGCGATACGGGCCTTACCACATACCTGTAAACCGTAAAGCCTAAACTGCATTGGAATCCAAAAACCCCGCATGAAAAAGCGCCCTGGCAGTAACCCCTGTAATTAGCAGCAACGATGTGCTGACAGGTTACTACTTACCGTTTAGGGATTGACAGCACTTGGGACCTGTGGTGTAGGATACTATAGTGCCATGCCAGCAACTGGGGACTGCAGGTGAAAACGGATGCCACCGCACATTGCGGCGGCGTAAGGTAACACAATCCAGAGATATTGCAGAGGTCGACAAACTACCATCCGAAAGCTGTGCGCCAAAAGAAGAAGTGAGAAACAACTTCCCCGAATAGTGTTTGTTACAGACTCCAACACCCTCATTCACAACCCTATGATTATAATCCTATACTTGTATCGTACTCCATGATCCTTTAGCCCGAAACACTCAACCCGAAACCACATTTGAGCACTGCGACAGCTACCAAGCTCGAAAGAAAGGCCACGAAGTGGAACGTGGACTGGAAAAGCTGCGTGAACATCAGGGTGCAGATGTACAGGACGAGAGAGAACCTTACACATAATGCATGACGTGCTCATGGTTGTAGTGGTTTTATCTATCTACCCATCTCTCTTTCTATATGTATAAATATATATATATATATATATATATATATAGGTGTGTGGAGGGGTGATGCATTATACTCGATTTTATGTTTGTGTATATATATATATATACATACATACATACATACATACATACATACATATATATATAATATGTATTTTATTGGTATGTGCTTCATAATTTCTTTATGTCTTTTTCGACTTATTCATGTATTCTATCGGCATTCGGGCTTTGGGACGTGCTTGAAGTTCTAGTTGCGGGGTTTAGTCCTGGGTGTCCACTAGTAGAAGGGCCTTGAAACGTGAGGTTATGTTCTGCGCCTCGCAAGCCCTAAACCGTACTTGGAGGATCATACCTTACTTGGGGTTATAAGTGATTAAAAGTATAGTTGCCTTAAGTATAACCCTAGTTAATAAGGCCCCTGACCCTTGAAGTAAAACGGAACCTCTTGCACTGCAGCCTAAACCCCACATCCTGACACCTCAGCCCTAAACCCTAAACCGTAACCCCTAAACCCTAAACCGAAGCTTTCAACTGTCAGGTTGCAGGGCTTGGGGCTGAGGCCCTGGGGTTTATAGGTTTTACTTTAGGGTTTGGGGTTTAGCTTTTGTTTTACATATGCAATGGCTCTGTCTGTCTACACTTGAGGTTTAGGACTTAGGGTTTTTCGTTTAGGCTTTAGGGTTTAGTTTTGGGCTCAATGCTTAAAGAGGTTCGGGCTGATAGGGTTCAGGTTTTGACCTTAAGGGTGAATTGCTTAAACAGGTTAAGGCTTAGGGTTTAGGCTTTTACTTTAGGGTTTAAGTGCTTCAAGAGTTTAGGGCTTAGGGCTTTGGGATTAGGCTGCTTCTCAGGCCCAGGCAGGACAATCCAGTAGCTCCTTGGCTGAAGCAAGCGTTTCAGGATTTACTGTGAGTATTTCATTCTTCGGGGTTTCGGGTTCGCCGATGCGCAGATGGCACACATGCCTTCAGGACATTACTTGGAGGATCATGAGATTTAGTGAGTAAGGCTATAGGTACCTTAATCGGGGGTATAAGCAGTTGCAATGGATACCTTAGCTGTAACCCTAGTCACTAAGTCCCATGACCCCCCAAGTAGTTCATTCCCATTTGATATCAGCTCAGCGCCGGGATCATGCAAAAACCTAGACCTGGCCGTGGACCACATGCCTCAAGCTGGGGGATTCAAATCTTTAGGATTTCTGGTCCATTGCATATCTCCCGGCAGGAAGAAAGTGCCGAAATATAACACCCAAGTGTCAGCGACTTGCCTGTGTAGAGCATGGCCTGCAAATGGGCAAAGGATGCAGGCTAAGGGCTCGTAGTGTGACAGATTTGGGCTGTGAAGTCCTGGGGACTAGCTATTGCGCTTTGTGGCTACCAGGACCCCACAAGTATGCAGACTAACAGCCGTTTATAGGCTTTGGACCATTATTTCGCCTATATACTTCTCGTGTGGGTTCACAAAATCCTATTCGCCTTTTCTCCCTCTCAAGGCCTTGGGTCTGCAGGACTCGATGTCAGAATGACTAAGAGGTTGAACGGCAGAAGCTTCATTACGGTGAGAACCCTAAACCCTAAACCCCCTTAAACCCCTAAACCTTAAACCCTTAAACCTAAACCCTAAACCCTATAAACCCTACAAACCCTATAAGCCCTATAAGCCCTATAAACCCTATAAGCCCTATAAACCCTATAAAACCTAACACTATAAACCCCCGGAAAGCTTCACCATGCCGGGGCTCGGCAGGGTTTAAGTAGCTTAACGGTTGGGCTGTGCCGACGTATGCAGATGTTCCTCGCTTTGATCTGAAAGAGCTGTTATACATATGTAAAAAACATGTGCGTGTATATATATATATATGTATATATACACATATACATATTATACATATACAAAAATGTATATAGTTACATATATAGGTACTTTGGGCTTATGCCTTCGGTTTTTCGGCTTTCGGGCTTCTCACATGAGCCTTGTCCTCGGGCCTTCCTTCGAGCACTGGATGGCTCATCTTCGAATCCTACACTTCCAGAAACAGCAAATAAAGCACTAAACCCTTAAACCCCCGATCCCAAGCCCCAAGCCGAACAGTAACCCTAAAATAAAACCCCAGACGACCGAGAAACGAGAAAGAGTGAGGTGGGAAAAGCACCCCCCCCCCTCCAGCTCAGCGGGGGGGTGAAAGAGTTAAAGAGAAGTAAAACCCCTAAACTTTAAACCCTAAACTCAAAGCCCCGGCTCCGGAGAAACGGCCTGGAAGAGTCTTGCAACAAAGACACACCAAAACCCAAAACCCAAAACCCGGAAACCCCAAACCCAAGCCCCAAATCTCCAAACCCCCGAAGCCGCAAAGCCTTCAAGAGCACTCGAAAAGATGGCCATCGGCTTGCAAGCTTGTTCAGGACCTCTAGGGAAGTTTTTGGATCTAACGCTTAGGGTTTTGTGTTTCGATGTTTAGGATCTACGTTAACCTACCAGGCTCTTACTATACACACACCCTGCTATAGAATTCATAGGGGCCACTACAAATAGTAGGTTCTGGTAGGTTAAGCTTGGATCTTCGGACTTAGGCTTGCGATCTGGAGGATGGCTCGTGAGATCTGGCTGTAAACTCTCAGTCTTAGTTTAAACAACTTGATGGAGATGTGGGTGGTTGTAAAATTGGGGCGCTTTTAAGGTGCCGTAAAGTATTTTGGACCCACGAAGGGACCCTGATCTTGACAACCCCCCATGTGTTTCCGGTAAGGCGGCTGGCAGAGAGCTGCTCAGTACATCAAGAGGAAGTTGGAAATCTCTGGAAGATACTTTCGTCAGTCTTCGACCTTTGGAACTGAAATAGCCGAACAATTTAACCGCCATTGGTGGCTGTAGTTTGGAGCAAAAATATTGTTGCAATGCTACTGTGAGTCGTTCACATGGTCCACGGACCCCAACCTTGAAGCCCTAAAGCCTGAAGCCGTAAGCCTTACGCCAAACCCCAACGCCAGCCCCCCCCCATGCTCCAGAACCCCTTGATCAAGGAATACATCTGCCATTAATGATATCAACTGTCCCTCTTCAAAGGTAAAGTGTTGAGAGATGGGCTTTTGGAGTCTTTCGGCATCTTTCCTCGCAGTCCTGTGATAGCTAGTCTAACATACCCCTTTCATGCCCCATCACACATCACAAGACCCTTCCTGAAAAAGCCCTTATCAAACCCTCATACAACCCATAAACCCTTAGAGACCCCGTCATAATCCTTCATAAACCCCTACTCTAAGCCTTTACCTGGACCCCACAAGTATGTAATTGGAACACTAGCCTTTCGTAGATTTTGGACCACTATTTTGCCGACTTTTGGGGGCTTAGGTAAGGCCCTGGAGGTCTCTAATATAGGGGCTTTAATAACTAGCATAGGGTTTTTGGGGGCCTCCTCATTCTCATTCCTATATTATAAACCTCGGCTGCGCACCCGAAAGAGGCGCAAGGTCCGCAGCGCCGTGAAGGGCGCCTGACCGTCCGGGCTCGACAGCACCTGGGAAACTAAGTTACCATAACAAAGGGTTAGGGGTTTGGGGGTTTAGGGGCTTGGGGGTTTAGGGTTTCGGGGCTTAGGGTTTCCCAGAAAAGGAAGCACAAGGGCACAAAGAGGTTTGGGATTTACGGCTAAAGGTTTGGGCTTTAGAGTTAGGGTTTGGGCTTCAGCATTAAGGGTTTGGGGTTTAGGGAGGTTTGGGGCTTACTTGAACCACCGAAAGTCTGTAAACTTTCATGATGGCCCATCAATAGAACGCTGTTGCGGGGTTCAGGTAGAGCTAAAGGGTTTGGAATTTAGGGTCTACATAGCGTTTGGTGCTTAGGATTTAGGTTTTAGATACCCGAACGAAATAAGGGTTCCGTACGGTAAGGGCTCCGTACGGTTTCTGAAGGGAGAGCAGAGGTCCTTGTTAATTGCTACGGTTTTTTGGTTACAGGCCTAGGTATCTACGGCTAGCAGAGACACTTAGGGTATACGTGTTTTGGGGTTCTACGCTTTTGTGGTGCTTTGGAGTGTTTTCGGGGGACTTCCCTTAATATGTGCTCCTTTCCAAGGATCCTACGATTCCTTTCTACGGTTTCGGGGCTCTGAGCTTGAGGATCTTCGGGGCGCATATAACTTAAACTACAATGACCTAACTTTTTGTAGGCGTGTGTGGTAAGCCCTAATTTGGATTTTATAGGGACCCTACCAAAGGTAGGTTTCTAGCTTAAAGAATAGTTGCATGTCAACTACTCGAGTAGCATCTTCCGCACCCCGAACTCTAAACGCTTCAGGTGAGTTTCGATTCGGTATTGGGCGGATCGGATCATAGCATAGGGATGTGACACCCAAGAAGCCGGCTTATAAAGTGTCAAAGGCGCCTGAACCACAGAAGCAGTGACGATGATCCCATCGAAGCATGTGACCGGGGTCTTCAAATACCTGCTGGCATTCTACCTATAGTCTCCATTGCAGTTACTTTTTTGGGTTGCCATTGTTATAGGATCCTGATTGTAAACATGGCTTAACCAGAAAAGGAACTACAATGAAGACTAGAGGCATAGCATGATTTAAAGGCGGAAGAGGCTCAGAGCGCTTCTGAACATCTCGACGCTTCAGGGTTTAGGGCTGCATGATGCGGAAGGCTTTGAGGGACCTCGGGTTCAGGGTCTAGGTTGAGTAATATAGGGGCCTTAATAATTAATGTCGCAACTAGGACAGGTTTTTGGAGCCCATTATACTATTAATATAATGAGGAACCCCACAATAGATTTAGGCCCCTAGAGTAGTTCATGCTAAGGTTCTCGCCGCGTTGTAAGGCACCTTCCTCAATCGCGGCTTTTGGTTGACTGTTCAAGCTAGCTGCTGCGCTGTCGGCATCTAAGGGTTCTTCATTCCAAGCTGAGGCGGTACGTACCAGGGTTGGTATCCAGGACAGAGCTTCACCCAAGGCTACACACAGTGATCAAGGCTTTAGTCTTGGATCCGAGATCGTACAAGAGTTTTCACTCTTTCACATATATATATATATATACATATAGAGAGAGATACACACACACACACCTCACACAAGTGAATACAAAGCCCGCGACAGAAATACGAATAATGGGCACAGGTAACAATGCCACTAGTCATGATATGCAATATTGTACAAGTCCAATCAGTGTGAAAAAGAACAAATACCTCCCTGACCCCGCGCTCTTTCACCCTAAATGCTAGATCCGGTGCCTAAACCATCAGCCGATGGAGCCCAAACCCAGAAAGGCTTCAAGCCAGTGCAGCAGTCTGAAAACCGAGACTAGGCCTTCAAACAACGTGATTCTCCATACTGATCATTCAAACCCTTGAAAGAGCCGCAAAAAACCCTGCACCTAAACCCTAGCCCTAAACCCCTGCACCCTAAGCCCTGAACCTTAAGCCCCTATAAACCCTCAACCCCCTAAACCCTTCCTCTGCCCCCGAGACTCGAACAGGCAGTCCGTCAGACCACAAAACATCAACCCACAAGATAATGTAGGAACCTGATTAAGAAACCTTGGGCCTTTGTTAAGGCTCCTTATATATGAATCCTACTATTTTGGGGGGGTTCTAGGCCCAGGGTTTCTTGATCAGGTTCCTACATTACAGCGAAGCGCGGAAAGTTGGACCGTGGGTTTAGGATGATTGGTGCTCGGATCGCTTGTGCTTTACCTCAAGGGCGTGAGGATTGGAATGGCTTCCAGGACAACAAAACCATAGCACCAAACAAACTATGAAACACGAACTGTCCATAACCCAAAACCCTACACCCTCCTCAAATCCAAAACCAGGCACGCCCCTATAACACAGAGGCCCAGAGGGTCCAAGTGCCCAAATAGTGGGCTTTCAGGAACCAAAACCCATACTCTGAATGGTTGTGGACCTTGCTATTTGGGTATTTGGACCCTTCGGACAATTCAATCAAAAAACGGGGACGCCCAAACCCCAAAAGCCATGCACGGAATCTTAAACCCCAAACTCTGAGCTCTAAACCCAGAGCCCGAAACCCTAAACCCCAAAGCCCTGCCATGCCCTGCCTACATGGGCCGTAGGCACCAATCCTGAGCTTAAGCGGTGCTGCAAGGGAGGGGCTTAGGTGTTTAGGCTTAGGGTGAAACGGCGGCGCTCAGGCCTGTGGGGTTTAGGATCAAGGTTCTGCGTGTCTAGCTTAGGGGTTTTGGGGTGTTCGGGATGAGGGTTTAGGGCTGATGATGACAAGGATCAGGATGAAGATGGTGATGAGGATGATAATGATGATGATGACGATGGTGATGGTGATGGTGACAATGACGCTGATGATGCTGCTGATGATGGTGGTGGCGATGCGGAGTATTATGGATGACGTGGTGATGACGATGGTGATTCTGAACATGCCAATGTTTCTTAGTGTGTACTGAGAAGGAAGCAGACAAGCCCAGAGCAACTGCGGCAAAAACTGTACGACAGCATAGAGAAGGGAGATAGAGAGAGAGAGAGAGAGGGAGAGAGAGAGATAGAGATAGAGATAGAGATAGAGAGACGGAGAGTGTGTTTGTGTGTGTGAAAGAGAGAAAGAAAGAGAGAGAGAGAGAGCCACGGAGAAAGTCCAAGACAAATAGACAGCTGTTTACACATATGCACGCAATACATGCACAGGCGCATAAGCACATTGGTTCTTACTGTTGCTTCCTACATTGCGGAAGTAGGCTCTTTAGAATCCTGGAGCCTGAATACTGAAGGAGCTGGTTCCGGCAGCGTGGACACGTACTTAATTGTAAGTCAGTACTTTGCCCGTCAATGATCCTTCAATAAAGCTTCTGCAGCTTATGTTCGGTGGATTATAGATAGAAAAGTACACCCATGTGCAGACCTGCACGCGCTTGCACACTGATGCAGACCAGCGGTCAGGTAAGTTAGGGCCCTTGAGGGTTTTTGACACCTCCTCATCCCTAAACTCCAGCGAAACGGCAGCAAAGGCCAAGTGCCAAGAGGAGTCAAGTCGACAGGCAGACTCTTTAGGCTGTCGGGTTTGGGAGAGAGTCTTCCGGTAGACAGATGAGAATAAGACAGCACAGTGTCGAGTTGTCGCTTTCTAGTTCCTCTACTTCAAGAAGGGAGTCGCCATTGAGGCAGCAGAGAGCTTGAAGACAAAGGCAGACTCTCTTCAGACGTGTCTCATGATGCACATCTCCACACAGAAGATTATCAGGAAGACGTTCTCGCAGGTGGCCAGAAACTCCTCGCACGCTGTTCTCAAGCTCGAAAGACGTGGGATATGGGTTCGAAACTCTGCGCCCTAAGGCCTTTATGGGTTCTCAACAGACAGATATAGTCGAATCGTCAAGTTTGTATCACATCAAAGCTCAGTCGTTCAGGACACATTCTGACCTGCAGCGAGACGATCGGAGGGTACCCATCCAGCATCATGGTAATGACCTTCGCGGGTGCTAGGTCTAGAGGGAGCCGTAAAGGGAACCCTTGCCGGTAAAGGACCCCAACAATGAACCCTAAGAGGAAGCCTGAGCCCTGAAGGAACCCTCTACAAGGTTCGCTAGAAGGAACCCTTGAAGGAAGGGGTTTCTGTCAGCATTCAAACTGCTACGTATTAGAGATCTGAAGAAAAGGAAGCGCGATTGCGTGCGGACATTATGTTTTTTAGTTTCACTATACTCAGGAACCCCACTAAGGCGCGTATGGGGCTAGAAAGGCGTTATCGTTCTACACGGTGTACGAAATAGTTGAAGTTCTAGATTCTATTCTAGCCTGAAGCGAGATGGGTGTGATTCTTGGTCCAGAGTTCAGGATGCGGGGTTCAGGAAGCTTGGGATTTCCAGTCGTTGGGTTGATGGGACAAGCTCTCTATTCTCCAAGCTGGTGCCATCTAAAATCCTCAAATCCCTAAGCACGCACTAGAAGATGTGAGTAAACCTGCGCCCTGAGATCCGAAGGCTTCCTTCGAGACCTGTTCGACTTAGCACGCCGACTTCGTGCCCCCAACCTCCGAGAGCAATACAAGCTAACCCATCTTAGTAGACATGCATAAGCATCCCAGTAAACATCCCTGTGCATCTTCAGAGGCCACCAAGGGCTTTTTGAGCAGGAAAATCCACGCTGGACTCCATGCTGTGATGTTCTCAAGACTCCAAAAATTCAAAAAATCACTCAAGGACTGCTCCACGGTTCAGGGATTTTGGGGTTCTTGGTAGTGCTTGCCAGAAACCATGAGTCATCAACTCATTTTGGAGTCTGTGCTGCAGATCGCACGCGGCCGCAGGAGGGTTTCGGGCTTCCGTGACAGATCCTCATCTACTCTGGGCTGAAGGTGTGCAGAAGCCCCTAAACCCAATTCTGCACCGGTGCCTCGCCCCAGGCCTAACCCCAAACCCTACAAGCCCTCGTCCCTAAACACTAAAACCCTGCAGAAACCGCAGACCCCGTAAACTCCAAGCTCGAACCCGTTAACCTGAACTCCTCTTCGCCAGAGCCCCAACCCTCAATGCACCTTGTCGGGGGAAGCAAGAAAGTCCCTCCGCAACATACACTAAGGTACTAAGGGTACTGTAAGGGTCCCTTTAACGCCCCCTTTAAGGGTTCTATAAGGGTACTATGAAGCTACTAAACCTACCAGGGGCTTATTGTTTTCGCCTTATGCTTGTCTACGGGGTCATTGTCCCTTGTCGGGCCTGTAAACAAAAGTAGCCCTATGCCCAAACCTTCTGAACGGCTTACTGCCTTGCGGCCATGGCTGTGCACACCCCGTTCTTCGAGGCGGCAACGGACACTTACCGGCTTTTTCCCCCCAGGAAACCAGAATCGTAGGTCAACCCGCTATTGAAAGATGCAGGATTTTGGATATGCGGTTCGCTAGTACTTGACATCTGAGGTCGGATGTAGGTACAAAACCCTGAACCTGAACCCTACAACTCCTGAAACGTAGCCTAAACCCGACCCTTGAACCCCGGTTTAGGGGTTTAGGGGTTAGAGGTTTGGGGTTTAGGGTTTAGGAGTTTAGGAGTTTAGGGGTTTAGGGTTTAGGGGTTTAGGGCAAGTTTAGAGGTTTAGGAGTTTAGGACCCCATCCGGCGGATCCCAGGGGCCGGAAGCCTTCGTCTGTTCGCAAAGAAAGGGGCTTTCAGCCCGACTCTGCGTTGCTAAGGACGAGGGTAAACGGGCCTTACAGGCTTTTCGCACAGTACTTGGGCCAGCAAAGGTTTTCCCCAGGGTTTTAGAAGTCTTGTATTAAGGACCTTATGACTTATGACGCGTGGTGTCATAGTGCGTCAGTGGGGATGAAGATTCAGGGCTTTGGAGCCTCGGACACGTAGCTGGGAGAAGCCTCCACGAAGGCATGAGAGGAATTGTGGGGCAGCTCTGGCATTGCCACCGTCGTAATGATGACCGATGTTAGCATGCCCCGTCTATTTCCTGCTTCTTTACGTTGTTCTTCTTGTTGTTGCTCCTATTCCTGGTGCTGAGGTGCTGTACTAGACGATGACTTATTCATGGCATTTCTGCACGCACTACTTTTTCACGCCGATAGGGTGCGCTGAGCTACCATCGGGATGCAATTCTTCGTCTCAGGGTTTAGGGTTTACCTGGATCACAAGAGTATGTAGAATAATCGCCCCTTATAGGTGCTGGCCCTCATGTTACCTATGTTTGGACTTAGTAGCTAGGGATATAATCAAGGTAACTATACTGACTAAACTCATCAATCAGTTATCACCCCAATTAAGTTTCTTACACACCTGCTTACTAAGTCTCATGACCCTCCAACTAGACCTTCTGGTCAGATCTTAACCCTAAACCCTATAGATCCCTTTAAGGAATCCTTTACAAATAATTAGATCCCTTTAAGGAAGATCCCTTTAAGGAACTCTATAATCAATAGTTAGATCCCTTTAAGGAACCCCTTATCCTCCCTGAAGTCTCCTCCCTCTAACTCCGAAGGCCTCAGGCCATGCCCAGCTTCTGCGCCTGTGGCGACAGGACCTCGCGTTCTTCGGCCCCGGAGGCGCCTTTAAAGTGGCAGTTTCGGCGGATGAAGCACGGACAGCAGGCCGCCAAGGTCCCAAAGACCAGCAGGATCACACCGATCTTGACCTGTGGGTTGAGGCTTGGGGCGAGGCGTGGGGCTTAAAAGGCTTGAGGGCTTTTTGGGGGGGGGCTATGTAAGGGACGCTGTGATACTATCGGCACCTCGTTTACTTCCCAACCTCCTCAAGCACCCGCTTAAGACCTACTCGAACAATGAACACCAAGCCCTCACTCCCGAACAGCCTGCAAACTACCAAACATTCAACACCTCACTTAAGCTGCCTCCTGCCCCTCAAACCCCAGCTGCACCCCAAACCCTAAGAGCATGTGCCACATAGGGGTCTTCATCTTTGGAATATGGCTTGAGGGGATTTTAAAGGACTATAACTATATAGAATATAGGGGCTCCAAGGGGATAGGAATTACTAACTATTACCACCCCAGGACTGTATAGGGACGATAAAGAGAACTATTCCGGCCCTTACAGTAAGCTCGAAACCCTGAACCCGAATTGTAACTCTGAAAACTCTAAACACCCCGAACCTCTCAGCATGCACCCTCCAAGAATCGCAAAACACCAGGGAAAACCTGGCCTGGGTAGCCGGCGCGAGACCGAAATCGAAAGTTCCTCTGTTGGCGTTTAGGCTTTAGGTTTGGGGTTTAGGGTAAAGAGTTTAGACTTAAAAGTTCACGGCACAGTTGAAGGCTACGGAAAAGTCGCTTGTGGACTTGTTACGGTAGTTCAAGATACAAGATGGACCCTGCCTCACTACAGCCTCGGCTGCGACCTCGAACCCATCAAGGACCCCACAACAACTAGGCTCTACAATGCGACTATGCAGAGGCTTTGCGTTGAAATCGGAAAGGGATATAAGCCCGTAGCCCGAAAGCCTTAAGTGTAGATTTAAAGCCTTTGGCAGCATATCATGCGAAACCCTGAACAGCAGGACTCACGTTATGAAGACCTCATCTTAACAAAAACTGAGCCTCTAGTTTGTGTAACAAAAACTCTCTCACGCGAAGACCCCAGAGCGCTTGGCTTGAAGAAGCCCCCATTGATTATATCACAACATATATCCCAAACCCTATTCTTAATATTCAGGCCCCGATACTAAACCCTAGAAATTAGGGTTTAGGGGTTTAGGGTTTAGGGTCTAAAGCCCAATACTAAACCCTAGAAAAACCCTGCAAAGCCCCATTGTCAAGCTCAGGATTCCGTGCGTCAGCTCTGCTGCCCGGATGTATGGATCGTGCCAGGCCCTCACCGTAATCTCCAAGATGTGGGCAGGGCCGGCCTGGTTCAGGGTCTCTTATAGATGCAAGGCCTTCGGGTTTAGGGTTTAGGGTGTAGGGTTTAGGGTTCAGGGTCTCTTATAGATGCGAGGCCTTCTGGCGCACACTTCTGTAGTAGTGCTGGAGCTTACAGACCTGGCCCACACCCTGAAACCCCAAAGCCCGATGACTTTTTACTTTTTGGGCTCTAGGCCCTAGACCCCAAGCCATTTTCTCTGTTCTAGGGCCACAGGTTTGAGGAATTTGGTGTGTAAGTAGCAGACCAGTCTCATTCTTCGGGAGACTGGCAGAGATTTTGTCCGCCGCGTGAGGCTTTTGGCGTTGGGGGCTCGGTGCTCCGCAATGAGATTGGGGGCTTGGGCCGCGATAACCCTGAACCCTAGAGCCTAAACCCCGAAACCCTAAACCTCCAACGCGAAACCCTGAACCCTAGCGCTATACCCAAAGTCAGAATTGAAGATGTAGGATTGCAGACTTAGGTGGAAGTTGCCTCGTTCTGATTCGGTGGTTTCAAGATCCACTATACCCCTGTCTCCTCGAGCCGACCTGGTCTGCTCTACGATGCAGCAATCCTAACATAGACACGATGCTCTCATGTCTCATAAGGACATGCAGAAGGCGACAAGACACAATAATGTGGACCACATCCACCGACATCCAAACAGTCAGGCCACGGGTCGAAGATTAACGCGGGATGCTGCGAGACCTTATGCTACCTACAACAATGAGGAATTCGGCAGTAGGGTTTATGCTCCCGAGCTTAGCTTCTGAAGCCTGTAATTAGCCCAAACGAAGCCGTAAACAGAGCGTTCAATCATTGCAATAGGGTTTGAAACACAGTGTAATTTCATGATACAGGGAATAAGTTATAAGGGAATTGAATAGGCTTCTTTATTCGGTCTGAAGCTTGGCGACAGCTATCGCCACCAGGGGCACCTCTTCGCAAAGGCGATGGCTGGGCGCAGCGCCCCAGCACATGTCCTTCCTTCGATAGGGTTACTATAGGTTATAAATAATTACCAATACTATTTTTTGGGGGGGTTCCACATTACAATTATAGCATAATAGGCCCCCAAACCCTAGTCTAGTTTTTGAGGCCCCTATGGTTCCCATCCCAGAGACCTTATAAGATAAGGGTTCTGTAAGGGTGCAGGACTGCGCCTTATATTAAACTGTAGTGTATTCCGTGCGTTTGGATCCTACCGTAGTACACCTGCCTTTAACACATCTGCATGATCTTTGGGGCGTCAATCGCCCATGATGCAGGATCGTTCGGGGTGCTAAGGTTTTGGGTGCCTCCATCAGATGAACCCCAAACAAGCCAACCTGAACCCACAGACCCTAAGCCTCAATTCTCCAGTCAATCATGAAAACGCCGCAAACATCGAAACCTAACATCGCAGCATACGTCCTAGATGCTGCGCTGGCAAAACTGCAGCCCCGAAAAGAAACAGCACAACAGACGAATACCGCTGTCCAAACGATCAACCTATCCCCAACCCTTTCTACAGTATAAACTAAGCCCCAAAGCCTGTACACAAAGTCCTTCGCCAGGTCTTTTGCAACCTGCTAACAAAACCTGAACCCTCTGCTACAAAACCCCATGATCTGTAAAATTTGGGATCCCAGAGCAAGGTCTCCTCTGCAAATCACCCTAAACCCTAAACCCTAGAACCCTAAACCGTAATGGATCCATGGATCTTGTAGGTCGTCGGCTCGTAGTTCCTCTGCGGATTGCAGCCGTAGCTCCCCGTGTGGCGCGAGGAGTTTGTCAGGCTATTCGTCGCCTTGGCAATTGTTTTGCTGTTTTGATGGGGGGATCTGTTGTTCACAAGCTTATTTGTGAAGATTCTGAAACTGCTGTAAGAGGTTGTGGAGGGTTTGTGGGTTAAAGCTCGGCTTTATGTGTCATTTTGTCGTGGATTTGTCTTCGGATTGCTAGAGGTTTCATGGGTGGGCATCGTAGGGAAACGCCGAGCTTGAAACCAAAATATATAGGCGAAAAAGCTATTACTTTACCCCTGAACCTCCACGCAAAAGCGCGACACCTCCGAAATCCCGAAGCCTCCCAAAGGTTGAAGACTCCAAACTCAGATACAAGTTCATTTCCCCTCTATCTACCCCCTACATGCCTCATCCCACCCAACACCCTGACCTCTTCAACAATACCAACCCCTTCAAAACCTTAAGCCCCTGAACCACCAAACCACACACCCTTCAAAGTACCGGGTCGAAATGGTGTAAAGTCCACAATGCAGCGCCAAACCTCGATAAAGCTCTACATGGGGTATGGGGTGCAACACAAGACATCCATACCCGGGGGTCTCTATCGTAAGGATCCCACGATTCCTTCTCTTCTGAGGTTCCCATGTAAAGTCTACATCAGCCGATGTCCTTTCAGCGCCAGGGCCAAAGCCCTCAAGTTGTCAAGAAAGCTGATTTACATGTCTGGAGCATTAAGAACTGTATCCGCTGAGTCCTCACATTATTAGTTATAACTCACGATGCCGTACGCCACCACTCTAATTATTAGGCTCATCCATAACACTCTGCAAACCCGATGCAATGCTATCAGAGCCCTCTTATTTTTAGCTCGCCATATGTAACCCCATTAAACAGCCATGGGTCGAAGTGGTGAAGCGTCCACGCCTCGCCATCGAAAGATACTGCGACACAAAGGTCCACCTCAGAACTCTTTCACTCTTAATATTGGTCTGCGAAATTGGAATACGGCTTTGGGGGGGGGGTACATGGTTGAACAGGTATATAAATAGCAGGGTGAAACAATTCCGGGCTATACAGACCTCTGTCGATATATAGGGTTTCAATCCGAGTGTTCAGGTGTTGAAGGTTTAGGCCTCGGGTTCGGGTCGTTCAGTCGTTGCCGGCTTGTTCTTTACGGCTTGCAGGAATTAGGGGTCAGTCCCTACCTCGGGTAATACCCTAAAGACCTGGCCTAAACCCTAACCCCTATTACGCGAGATCTCAAATCCTCGCCCCGGCAGCTTGGTTGGGGCGTCGTGTTTACGGCCAAACCCTGAGCCTAGACCCTCAACCCTTGAAACCTAACCTTATAGACCTCAAACCTTCAACCCAAAACCCTTAAACTGTAACCTTATAGACCCTAAACCCTCAACCCTTAAGCAGTAACTGGTAGACCCTGAAGCAGGTCGGCACAGGGAGCTGAAACTGCTAAACCCTCGGAAGCTTACGAGCTTAAACTCTCAAGAAACGGCCTACTAAACAGCTGGACAAATAGAGGGTTTAGGGCTTAGGATTCAAGGATAGGGTTTGGCCCAGAATATGCTGTTGCAATTCCGAGAGGGCTAAGGAAGTTTGAGCTTGGAGGGCAGAGAGTGGTGCAGAGATTCAGAGGTCAGGAGTGTGGGGTCTCTTGGTTAAGCTTCTGCCGCTCATGATCAAGTTTTGGGGCAGGGACTCTCTACAACTTGGACAGCCAACAGCATGTCGTGTGTGTAGATGCATACTCGAGAACCATGTTTTGGAACCAAGAAAACCATGCATTTTTGGCTCCAGGTACGTCTCGAAACCCTTTAGACGGGCCCTTTGTGGTCTGGGCTGCACAAGTCCGTGCGACCAGTCGCCCCAACGCCGAACCCCCAACTTCAAGCCCCAAACCCTTAGAGCCAAACAAACTAAACTAAACCACCCACCGAAGTTAGCTCTAAACACACTAGACCCTAAACCCCTAAACCCAGAAACCCTGAACCCCTACAACCCTAAACCGTAAACCCTAAACCCCCTAAACCCCTAAAACCTAAACCCTCCACCTGCTCTTAATTGAATCCCCGGGGCCAGCTTGTGGGCATGGTGGCAGGCACCGGGCCGCTTGTAGACCCCGTGGCTCGTCCCGAAGCAGTGAGTCCTGAAAGGAGGGTTTTTACTTAATTAGGGAGCAGTTGAGTCCTAAAAGGGAGGGGCTTAGAATCCTGAAAGGGAGCAGTTGAGGAAATTTTAGTTTATAGGGTTTGGAGTCCTGAAAGGGAGAAGCTGAGGAATTTTGAGTTTATTGGGTTTAGAGTCCTGAACGAGGTGTTGAGGACTTCATGTGCTTAGTTGCTGAATTAGATTCATAAGGCCGCCGAAAAGTTGAAATGTTCAGTTCTATCGGGGATTATACTATGTCGAAAAGTGTAGGATGTATTTAGTGCTTCCAGGTTTGGGTTTGGGGAGGTGTAGATTCTCGGGTTTGGCGCTCGAGATGTGGGCTTTGGGTCTAGGCTCATGGCGATCCCAACGTTTTGAAAACGCCCTCGTTTAGCCTTAATTATTGTCAGTAAGCCTTAGTCACAGGTCCTGTCAACAAAAACACTCCGAAAAGTGATTACGAATCCCAAAGCCCATAAACCCCTTACTAAACCCAAAGCCCCTAAACTCGACGCCCCCAAAGCTCTAACTTTGAAACCCTAAACCCGAAATCCTAAGCCTTGTCCTCAACCGTGGGCCCAGGGATCTCCAACCATGGACCGTAAGTCCCGAATCCAAACATCGAAACCCCTCAACCCTGCTGCGATCCTGATTAAAAGGCTTTACTTTAAGTTATCATAATCAGGAAACCCTACAATTTACTAGAATTATTATGGTAAGTAGTATGGTTTCCTTAATATGGTAACTTAAAGTAAATCCTTCGATCCCTATTATTGTATCTTAAATTAAACTCCTTACTCAACTTCACATCCCTAAGTCCCAAGCCCTCTACCCTGAGCCCTCGACCCTGGAACCCCATAACCCTCTGCACTGTACACCCCAAGCATTATAAACCTTTAACTCGACGTCCTCTAAAAAAAAAGCGAACGCTTCCGTGATGCTTAAAGCACCTGGGGGCTTAGCAGGGGGTCACTAAAAGGGCTACAAGTGCCCTAAACCCAACCCTTTTCTAAACCCTAAAGCCTAAACCCTAAACCCAACCCTTGTCTACACCCTAAACCCAACCTTTTTTCTAAACCCTAAACCCTAAACCCAACCCCTTTTGTAAACCCTAAGCCTCTCTGAGCGAATCCCAACGAAACCAGGCCTCGGCTGCGGAGCCTGGCCCACTGTCGGGAAGTCATAGACCTGCGAAAGAGACTCCAAACCCTTTAGAAAGGGCTTTGGGGTTTAGGGTTTAGGGGTTTAGGGTTTAGAGTTTAGGGTTTGGGGTTTGGGGTTTAGGGTTTGGGGCTTAGGGTTTAGGGTTTGGGTTTTTTTTTTGGGGGGGGGCTTAGGGGTTAGGGTTTAGGTAGAAAGCTTTAGGGTTTGGGGTTTAGGGGTGTATGGTTTCGAGTTTTGGGGCTATTACTGTGGGGTTTACCGTCGGGAATAGAGGGATCCTGCACATGATTTAAGATCTACTCTTCAATGAAAGGGCGTTGGCGTGTCTGTGTTGGTTCTTGGGCTCAGGGTTTTGAGTGCTGGGTCTGTAGGACTTGGGCTGAGGTTTGGGCCGGCCTGTTTAGGGTTTAGTTAGGGTGCTGGTTTCAGGGTTTTGGTTGTTGGAACAAGTCTGGCAAGAAATACTGAACCGCTTCGCCAAAGCCCTAGATAAACCTCTATTCCCCATTCCCTGAACCTACAAACACATGTCCCAAAAGCCCCCAAGCCCCAATCCTACACTCGTAAAGCCCCAACCGTACCTGGCCCCCCAATCTACCCCATTTAGCCTCTATTACAGACCATAATGGCTTGATTAAAGCATACTTGGGTGTCCTCAACCCTAAATACATTCTAGCGCGGACACGACATATAGTAAGGGCTTAATTAAAGGGCTCCTAAACCCCCAAGCCAGAAACCAAGAATCCTAAACCCTAGACCCTCAACCCAAAACCGCCCAAACTCGGAATCCTGAACCCCAGACCCTAAACTGCCCAAACTCGGAAAACCCTAAACCCTAAACCATCATGAACCCTAAACGCTTTATAGCTCACTTATAGATCCTTTTAAGGGCACCCTTATAGATCCCTTTAAAGGGTCCCTTACAGATCCTTTGGGGTGAGCCCGGGGGCCAGCGGCAGCGGGTCCAAGCTGATGTTGGACTCGAGGCCGCCGCCTTCTATCGTTTAGGGTTCAGAGGTTCCTGAGGGTGCCTTTAAGGGCTCCTTTAAGGGATTTATAAGGGTTACTATAAGGGTACTATGGGTTCAGGGGTTTCAGGGTTTGGTGATTAAGGGCTTTGGGTTCAGGGTTTGTTTTTGTATCTGCAATGGCTCCGTGTCTACTCCGCACGCAAAGCAGGTCTTGAGCCCGCCACCTGGGCCTACACTACAGCTTCGTTTAGGCTTCAGGGTTCAGGGTTTAGGGCTTGGGGGTTTAGGGTTTAGAAGTTTAGGGTTGTTTTAAGGTTGTGGCTTTGTTATGGCCATAAAAATGCTTTACCCAAAACCCCTTAACCTAGGAGTTCAGGGTTTAGGGTCGAGGGCTTGGGGGTTTAGGATTTTTGTACTCTTAAACCACAAAACCGAAACCCCTTTAACCCGAAATGCCAGTAGGCATCCCTCAAGCCTATAGCAAGTTCCCAAGTATAGTATACGTACCTGGACCATCAAAGGACGGATGCCACGGGCTTCAATACGAGTACCAGAGACAAATATCAGCCTGCCTACAGACCTAAAGCCCTGACGCCTCAACACCCTCCCTAAGGGTCCAAGTACCCAACTAGTAGGGTTTCAAGGTCCGAAAACCTGTCAGAGTCTGGATTTCAATACCTGAAACACTACTGTTTATGTACTTGGACGCTTTCGGCCTAGCAAGCCCCAAACCCTATTCATTCCCTAAACCCCAATAATCCATAAACCCTGAACATCCCTAAACCCTAAACACTAGACTCCTTTAACGTAGTTGCTGAGTTCACAAGCCCCTGAAAAGTGTACACTTTTAGTTTTATAGTGGGTAATATTATCCCAAAAAGTGTAAAGTGTTTCCACCCAGCTACTAAGTTAATGACCCGGGCCTGACGCCATGAGAAGAAAGCCGGCACGGGGCGCCTTGCCAGCAGGTGAAGCGAGCTCGGGCAGGAGGGTGTTCAAAGGGTTTGTAGGGTTTACTAGGGAATAGGGTTTAAGGTTTAGGGTTTAGGGTTTGTAATATAAGGGATTTAACAATTAGAAGAGGGTTTTGGGGTATATTATACCATAGCCATATTAATGGACCCCACAATAGTATTGGTGGTTAGTTAAGCTATGTTATAGGGTCTTATTAGGGAACAGGGTTTCAAGTTCAGGGTTTGGGGTTCAGGGCATTTCAACATTCTAGTTGTTCAACAGACTACTCGAAAATTAATCGTTTTTGAAATTTACTGTTTACTTAGGTCTGACATTCTCCACAGAGTCCCAAAGCCCTCAAAATTCTGAACTACAATCCCTTGCCATACTGAATCTGAAGTCCTGAACACAGCCAAACCAAACTTAAAACCCAAAAGCCCTCAACCCAAAGAGCCAACGGTCTAAAACCCTAAACCCTAAACCCAAAATCCCTAAACCCAAAGAGCCAACGGTCGAAATTTCTCAAACCCTAAACCGCTCCTAAGACCCGAGAGGCCTCGTCCCAGGAAGGCAAAACCTCGTCGTCCCACTGATCCCTTGGGGATAGTTGTCCGCGCCAGTTCGCCTCCCAGCTCAAAGCGGGAGAACCCGAGTTTGATGTTAGGGATTAGGGGTTTGGGGTTGAGTGTTTCGGCTTTGGGGCTTGAGGGTTTAGGGTTTTTAGAGTGTAATAGCCTTTTGTGGGTTTTGGACCATTAAGTTTGGGTAGCAGTTGCCGACGAGGTGGCCCATAAGACATAAAAACGAGCTGCGCACCAAACCCAAAACACAGACATATACTCGCCAGCGGAACCCGGATCCTGGTCCCTGAACCCCTGGATCCTGATTTTCAGAAGATGATCTTACCAGAGAGCCCAATACCCCTTAATTGAGGAATATATGGGTTAAACTATATAGGGATTCATATTATGATTTAAGCTATACTCCTTAATTCCCTTATAGAACCCTTATAGATCCCTGTAAGGAGCCCTTTTAAGGAACCCTAGGTATTCCTTAAGTAGGGGAATCTTGGGCTTGCTGGGATTTTCCATGCAGGAACTGCCCCAAAGAGCTGAAAAGTCGGAGCCTCTACCATGGAGCAGTTGTTGTAGTAACCTGAAGTCTGGTTTAGGGGTTTAGGGGTTTAGGGGTTTAGGGTTTAGGGGTTTAGGGGTTCAGGGGTTCAGGGTTTAGAGTTTAGGGGTTTAGGGGTTTAGGGGCTTAGGGTTTAGGTTTTCGTGCTTAGGCCTGAGCTGGATCCAAGTAGCTCTACATGGAGCAACTGAAGGCTGGCGATGGCTAGCGGCTATATGCAGTTGGTTAAGAAAAGTAAGGCAATCAACATTGTCTTGAACAAAGCTAACATACCGGCACACCCGAAGTTACCTACACGCAATCTAGCACTACCCGCGAAAGTAGATGTAACCACGGAAACGAACTGACAGGCGCTATGCGACATACGGTTGATGAAATAAATCCTGCATTATCCATGAGGAATATACCATAAATTCCCATGGTCTAGGGCCATGAAGGTACTGCAGGCTTTATATCATCGATGGTCGGGTTTGGGGCTCACAGGGTCACCGTCCTCTGATATGAGGATCGCTAAACCCTAAAGTCTAAACCTCCCTACTTGGAGGATCATAAAAGGGCTCCTTAAAGGGATCTAGTTATAGGGTTCCTTAAAGGGGTCTACATGGGTTTAGGGTTTAATAATCTTCTTGGAGGACCAGGGGACTTAGTAAGTAAGGTTATAAGTACCCTAATTGGGGGTTATACAGCTACCTTAACTATGACCCTAGTCACTACGTCCCAGGACCCTTTAAGCAGACCCCAAACAACTCAACATCTCGAGGATGGGGAGGAGGTCCTAAAAGCCAGGACGTTGAAAGCAATGCTCTGCTCTTCCTTCCTATAGGCCAAGAAATCTCTTTCTGGGTCTGGGTTTGGGGTTCCGGGTTCAGGGCGCAGCATTCAGGATTTTCAGCTGAGGGTTCGGATGTGTGTCCGGGAACAGCCTTTGTTGGCTTGAGGATGTCCTGCGACGGGCCTCGGATTTCTGTGCTTTGGGGTTTGGTTATAGCGCTCATTGATGGAGATCCGTCAATCGCAGAAGGCAAGAACCGGCCTCTGTAAAATCCCTAACATTGTTAACAAGATGCCAAGTGGTTTAGGAAATCAAAGGCTTAACCCGAAGCTTTAACATCTAAAACCAAGCCTCACAATGCAACCCTGAAACCCGACTACCCAGGCTCAGAAGCCTCAAAAGAACGCCACCATCAGCTGCTTCGAAGAAAAGCAGAGCATGAAACATGCGAGCCCAGGAGCAGGGTAGCTCAACACGACCCCGGTAGCTCAGCGGTTTGTACTCCTGACAGGGCCCACCATTCACCACAGGAAGTGTCATATTCCTTTCAATCGCCCCCAAACTCATAGAGCCCCACAGAGACCGACGAAGGCCAATAAAATCTTATGAGGCCATAGACATAGACGGCAAACCAAAACCATTCACTGTAGGGTGTAAACTTGAGGCTTTACGGTTTACGGCTAAAGGCGGCCTGCAGGGCTTACAGGACGTACGCGTACCCACGAATGTAAATGCAGGGTTGGTTTTCAAGCGACCAGCAGCCGTGGTAGCTTTGGCTCCGACTTGTTCGTGGGTTTAGTATTTCTGGTTAACCTAAACCCCCAAACGCCGACCTTTCTAGGGCTCCTTATTCACATTTCTTTATGTAAATTCGTCAGAATGTATGTCAAGGTGGCGGCTGAAGGTACAAGTTCCTCAGCCTAGACCCCCCAGCTACCCTCTAATATACCCCAAATACCTGCTGTTAAGGGCCATAAGGGCTCCACTAAAGCCCTAAACCCTGAACCCTAAACCCCCGGCCATTGGGGTGTCCTGGAGGTTGAGGTTGCAAGCTACTATTTGCTTAAGAACCCCCAAAAAATAAAAAATATATTCCTTATGGGGGTAATATAGGGATTATTATTTTTATTTTTTGGGGGCTTCTTAAGCAAATAGTAGCAAGGGTTTCAGGTTGAGGGTTGAGGGCTCAAGGCCGTGGGGGCTGGGTTCAAAAGGACGCTGATTGAGGTTGCCCTATCTGTAGCCGAAAAGACCTACCCTTTTTGAGGGTTCCTTCATATGATTTCGATATATACTTCCTTAAAAAAGTAGGTCTTCTCGGCTGCAGGTATACTTCTAGCCCGACTTACAAGCTTCTGACTGCGTCCTAGGACGCGTCTGGGAACCCTTAAAGGAAGCCCCAGTGCAGAACCCATACTACCCTTAGAGGAGCCCTATTATGGAACCCCATAGTACCCCTATGGGCCCTACTTGGAGGATCATGGGACTTAGCAAGTATGGTTATAAGTACCTTAATCGGGCTTATAAATATTATAAGTAGAGTTACATTGATTACAAGCCTCGTTGCTAAGTCCCATGACCCTTCAAGTAATACGGACCGCTTGAGCAGCTCGTGCTTGGTCTCATTGATCCCCAAACCCACAACCGCCTCAACCCTCTTGGTAACACCTATAGGTCTAGGGTAGCTCCGAAAAGCTCTCAGCTAATCCAATAAAGAAAAGGTCCACCTCGATTCCGTAGCCATCCTCGGAGTCTGAGAAGACCCAGTCATCCTCCCGGAGTTTCAGATTGCGAAAAACATGCATGGCTGGGGCTCCTTATGATGATTTCCTGATCTACATCTACTTAAGTATGTGTATATATATATACATACATAAGTAAGTTATATATATATATGTATATTGTACATTAGTAAGTATATATATATATATATATATATGTATATACATATATGTATACATACACACACACACACACGTGAAGAAGGTATTTGGGTTGTGGCTAGCTTCTGTCTCACGACTCCACCTGATTGGGGCTCAGCTGGGGGTCCCAAAGTAAACTCAAGCAAGCATACTATCGAGAATTTACCTAGAAGATGTTGGGTGACAGGATTTACCGCTTCCATCACACAGGTCGCAAGAATGGGGGCTGTAGAACTTATACAGTTTGGTTGCATTTGGGCCGGGGCTGATCTCATGGGTGGGCGATGTAATGCTGGGGCTGTTGCAATAACGTTCTCCTTGCATATGCGATTCTCAAGCTATGGTAGGATGGTTAGGTTTGAGGCCTCGCCCTGGAGGTCCTACAAAACTAAGTGTTTGGAAGGGGGCAGGGCACAACACTTGCATCATTACAGCCGTGCCGATCCGATCGATCGCACCTTCGAGTACGACATGAACCCTCAAGCCTCAACCCCTGAACCCCCAAAAGCAGTGATGCCTACCGAAACTTCGGCTCCTCCTCTGTCGGTTCCAAGCTCGATCGCAGCGTGATGGGCGCGCTGCCCGCCTGCGTCGGAGGCAGCGACGCCAGGAGGTTGACCTCAAGGGCCACAAGTGGCTAAAGTGTGCCACCATCCGTGCTCACAACGATGCTTACCCAGACTTCCGGGAGGATCCAAAAAGTAGATCCCTTAATGGGGGTTCCTGTAAAGTACCCTTAGGGGTATAGGGCCCCAAATTACGGGACCTACTTTCTAGATCCTCCCGGGGGTCTGGGTATGCAGCAATCGTTGTGCCCAAATCAACGTCGACGCATTACATTCATTCAATCTACAATAGGTCCGAAGTCCTCAGTATCAGCCCAGTATGATCAAGCTCGCACACAAATCCTACTTATACTCCCAAACCCCAAACCCCAAACAGCCCAAAAAAACATAAACCCTCCAAACCCATACCCCAAACCCTCAACGAATCAGGGTCTTCCGTTAACCTTTGGGGTTCCTGCCACGGCCAGGAGTTCGGGGTCGTGGGGATTTGAGGTTATATAGGCTTCATGGATTTTCTATACTCCATGGCATTTTCAGGGATTTAGATGGGTTTACAAGGGTGTTGTTAAGGCTTTGCGTAAGTAGTCTCAACATAACAAACGCCAAAAATGTAGACTCACCATAATTCCTCTACACAGCGCTCGACCCAAATTCCAGAGCCCGAAGATAAGCCCCCCAGCCAGAGTCCCTGAACCACAAAATCCTTGACCTCACTGACGTTCCCAGAGCGCCCTTGAAAACTACAACATCCGTGAAAGGCTGCAAAAGCCTCAAACCTTCAACGGAACCCTAAACTCTGAACCCTACAACCCCTAAAACTCCTGAACCCCAAACCCTGAACCCCTGAACCCTAACCCGCCCCACACAAACGCTTGGAAGCCCTCAGAAAGCCAAAAGGCCTGAAGCTGCTCCATCCGTGGTCGATCTATGTCCTGCGGGGTTTTCGGGTTCCTTTAAAGAAGGCCTTAGGGTTTGGGGCTTAGGGGTTTGGGGCTTGGGCTTTAGGGTTTTCGGGCCAATTTAAAAAAGGATTTAGGGTTTTGGGAGATTGGCTTTAGGATTTCGGGTTCCTTTAAGGAAGGCCTTAGGGTTTGGGGTTTAGGGGTTTGGGGCTTGGGCTTTAGGGTTTTCGGGCCAATTTAAAAAAGGATTTAGGGTTTTGGGAGATTGGCTTTAGGATTTCGGGTTCCTTTAAGGAAGGCCTTAGGGTTTGGGGTTTAGGGGTTTGGGGCTTGGGCTTTAGGGTTTTCGGGCCAATTTAAAAAAGGATTTAGGGTTTTGGGAGATTGGCTTTAGGATTTCGGGTTCCTTTAAGGAAGGCCTTAGGGTTTGGGGTTTAGGGGTTTGGGGCTTGGGCTTTAGGGTTTTCGGGCCAATTTAAAAAAGGATTTAGGGTTTGGGGTTTGGGCTTTAAGGTTTCGGGTTCCTTTAAGGAAGGCCTTAGGGTTTGGGGTTTAGGGGTTTGGGGCTTGGGTTTTAGGGTTTTCGGGCCAATTTAAAAAAGGATTTAGGGTTTTGGGTTTGGGCTTTAAGGTTTCGGGTTCCTTTAAGGAAGGCCTTAGGGTTTGGGGTTTAGGGGTTTGGGGCTTGGGCTTTAGGGTTTTCGGGCCAATTTCAAAAAGGATTTAGGGTTTGGGCTTTAAGGTTTCGGGTTCCTTTAAGGAAGGCCTTAGGGTTTGGGGTTTAGGGGTTTGGGGCTTGGGTTTTAGGGTTTTCGGGCCAATTTAAAAAAGGATTTAGGGTTTTGGGTTTGGGCTTTAAGGTTTCGGGTTCCTTTAAGGAAGGCCTTAGGGTTTGGGGTTTAGGGGTTTGGGGCTTGGGCTTTAGGGTTTTCGGGCCAATTTCAAAAAGGATTTAGGGTTTGGGCTTTAAGGTTTCGGGTTCCTTTAAGGAAGGCCTTAGGGTTTGGGGTTTAGGGGTTTGGGGCTTGGGCTTTAGGGTTTTCGGGCCAATTTAAAAAAGGATTTAGGGTTTGGGGTTTGGGCTTTAAGGTTTCGGGTTCCTTTAAGGAAGGCCTTAGGGTTTGGGGTTTAGGGGTTTGGGGCTTGGGCTTTAGGGTTTTCGGGCCAATTTCAAAAAGGATTTAGGGTTTTGGGTTTGGGCTTTAAGGTTTCGGGTTCCTTTAAGGAAGGCCTGAGGGTTTGGGGTTTAGGGGTTTTGGGGTTTGGGCTTTAGGGTTTAGAGTTCCTTGAAGTAAGGCTTTAGGGTTTTCGGGCTCCTCTAAGGAAGGCCTTAGGGTTTGGGGTTTCCTTAGAAATGGGTTTAGGGCTTAGGGTTTACTGTTTAGGGGGTTCCCGAGGGTCCAAATACTCAAATTGTAGGGCTTTAGCTCCCGAAATCCATACTCTAACTCTACATGGTCTTTGGCCAAACCCTACTATTTGGTCACTTGGACCCTTAGACTTTAGGGCTTGGGGGTTCCTTTAAGTAAGGGTCTAGGACTAAGATTTCCTGCAAGTAAGGGCTCAAGTTTAAGGAAACGATCCTTTGAGTAAAGGTTTAGGGTTCCCTGTAAGGGTACCTTTAAGGGTTTGGGTCTTGCTACTTCAATTACTACCGCAGGACGAAAGTTCGCCATACAACATGAAGTTGAGAGATCACCACATGTTCACCCCTGTTCCCCCGTAGAATCCTAGCACAACCCCGCAAAGCTCTCCGCCGGAAACTATATAATAGTATAAATTTATTCCCGGAAAGTAATTACTCCGCCACGCTGGCCACGTAAAATGGGTCTTGGGGCTCTCCGCCTCTCCGCGGCATACATCTATGTTATAATAGCTGCATGTCGAAACTTTCGGCCCGGTGGTGATTCTGGAATCATGGCTGATCCTCCCAACCAAGCCAGGACATGTGGCTTTAAGGTCTTTGAGGCAGTGTCATTTGCTGAAAAAAGGGTGACGGCAATGCATGCCCGGTACTAAAGTTTCGTCGCATTCGTTAGCAACACTGAACGGAGTACGCAGTGGATGTCGTTATCTTTCCGCAATGCTGGACTGCAACCCCGAATTGCCCGCTACCGCAGGACGAAAGTTCGCCATACAACATGAAGTTGAGAGATCACCACATGTTCACCCCTTTTCCCCCGTAGAATCCTAGCACAACCCCGCAAAGCTCTCCGCCGGAAACTATATAATAGTATAAATTTATTCCCGGAAAGTAATTACTCCGCCACGCTGGCCACGTAAAATGGGTCTTGGGGCTCTCCGCCTCTCCGCGGCATACATCTATGTTATAATAGCTGCACGTCGAAACTTTCGGCCCGGTGGTGATTCTGGAATCATGGCTGATCCTCCCAACCAAGCCAGGACATGTGGCTTTAAGGTCGGGGTGAGGCAGTGTCATTTGCTGAAAAAAAGGGTCACGGCAATGCATGCCCGGTACTAAAGTTTCGTCGCATTCGTTAGCAACACTGAACGGAGTACGCAGTGGATGTCGTTATCTTTCCGCAATGCTGGACTGCAAGCCCCGAATTGCCCGCTACCGCAGGACGAAAGTTCGCCATACAACATGAAGTTGAGAGATCACCACATGTTCACCCCTGTTCCCCGTAGAATCCTAGCACAACCCCGCAAAGCTCTCCGCCGGAAACTATATAATAGTATAAATTTATTCCCGGAAAGTAATTACTCCGCCACGCTGGCCACGTAAAATGGGTCTTGGGGCTCTCCGCCTCTCCGCGGCATACATCTATGTTATAATAGCTGCACGTCGAAACTTTCGGCCCGGTGGTGATTCTGGAATCATGGCTGATCCTCCCAACCAAGCCAGGACATGTGGCTTTAAGGTCGGGGTGAGGCAGTGTCATTTGCTGAAAAAAAAGGGTCACGGCAATGCATGCCCGGTACTAAAGTTTCGTCGCATTCGTTAGCAACACTGAACGGAGTACGCAGTGGATGTCGTTATCTTTCCGCAATGCTGGACTGCAAGCCCCGAATTGCCCGCTACCGCAGGACGAAAGTTCGCCATACAACATGAAGTTGAGAGATCACCACATGTTCACCCCTGTTCCCCCGTAGAATCCTAGCACAACCCCGCAAAGCTCTCCGCCGGAAACTATATAATAGTATAAATTTATTCCCGGAAAGTAATTACTCCGCCACGCTGGCCACGTAAAATGGGTCTTGGGGCTCTCCGCCTCTCCGCGGCATACATCTATGTTATAATAGCTGCACGTCGAAACTTTCGGCCCGGTGGTGATTCTGGAATCATGGCTGATCCTCCCAACCAAGCCAGGACATGTGGCTTTAAGGTCGGGGTGAGGCAGTGTCATTTGATGAAAAAAAAGGGTCACTGCAATGCATGCCCGGTACTAAAGTTTCGTCGCATTCGTTAGCAACACTGAACGGAGTACGCAGTGGATGTCGTTATCTTTCCGCAATGCTGGACTGCAAGCCCCGAATTGCCCGCTACCGCAGGACGAAAGTTCGCCATACAACATGAAGTTGAGAGATCACCACATGTTCACCCCTGTTCCCCCGTAGAATCCTAGCACAACCCCGCAAAGCTCTCCGCCGGAAACTATATAATAGTATAAATTTATTCCCGGAAAGTAATTACTCCGCCACGCTGGCCACGTAAAATGGGTCTTGGGGCTCTCCGCCTCTCCGCGGCATACATCTATGTTATAATAGCTGCACGTCGAAACTTTCGGCCCGGTGGTGATTCTGGAATCATGGCTGATCCTCCCAACCAAGCCAGGACATGTGGCTTTAAGGTCGGGGTGAGGCAGTGTCATTTGCTGAAAAAAGGGTGACGGCAATGCATGCCCGGTACTAAAGTTTCGTCGCATTCGTTAGCAACACTGAACGGAGTACGCAGTGGATGTCGTTATCTTTCCGCAATGCTGGACTGCAAGCCCCGAATTGCCCGCTACCGCAGGACGAAAGTTCGCCATACAACATGAAGTTGAGAGATCACCACATGTTCACCCCTGTTCCCCCGTAGAATCCTAGCACAACCCCGCAAAGCTCTCCGCCGGAAACTATATAATAGTATAAATTTATTCCCGGAAAGTAATTACTCCGCCACGCTGGCCACGTAAAATGGGTCTTGGGGCTCTCCGCCTCTCCGCGGCATACATCTATGTTATAATAGCTGCACGTCGAAACTTTCGGCCCGGTGGTGTATCCACCGGCTTGCTTTGTTGTGGGAGGGTTGAGGGCCGTAAGGTTGAGGGTGTGGCTTCAGCTTGACGTTTAGGGGCTCGAGGATACTTTACAGACTCAAGGGGAACAACACGACAGACATCCCAAAGCCCTAAAAACATAATCTCAGTGTCTCAGAGAGATGCTGTTTGCAGGGAGCGGGTTTTGTACCTAAACCCTAAATTCTAAACCCTAAACCCTAAACCGTCGGCTCCTGAGGATCGTTGAAGGCTTTTTTGTCACGACAGCAAGTTCCCTGAAGGGGTCGGTCGAGGAGGGTTTAGGGTTGAGTTTAGGGCTAGAGCTTGCGATAGGGCCCATGTAAACTCAGGAGCCCGATGTCGATCTAGGCTCATAAGTGAACGCGGCCTTGGCTACTTTGGAGTTAAGGGCCATCGGGGCAAGGTCGAGCTCAAATGTATTTGTTGGTGACAGTCACAAAACCACTTGTTATTCACAGGTTTAGGGTTTAGGCCAGTCCTGCCAATGCTCCACCTCTGCATCGTAGTCTCGAACCTGTCGGTGCGTGCATCTCTGTGCAGTTCAGGGGTGCAGGAACCTATATGCCGAGCAGCTTTCAGACTCAGCTATACGCCCTGTAAGCTCTAAAATCTCAAACCTGAGCCAGCATAAGCACACCGTATCACCCGGCACCCGAAACTACCCCAAAAGGCCTGAGGGCGCTCCCCCAAAAAAGATGCTCGTATACCTGCCCCGAAACCCCAAGTCCTGCATCCTCCTACTCCGTCGTGCTCAAGCCATCTTGGGGAGTGAGTTCAGCGGCGAGAGAGACACGCACACACACACACACATTCACACTCACAGGCACGCACATGCGCCCCGCGTCGGACATACAAATCTTATTTCAAAAACTTGTCAACAGCCTTCACCTCCCAGCAACACTTCGCCATGAACCCTGACGCCAAAAGTCTGCAAATTTCCTTAACCTAAAACCCCCAAAACCCCAAAATCCTCGAACCCTGAACCTCAACCGCCAAACGCCAGGAAGGAGTTCCCCAAATCCTAATTCCTTGAGCCGGGTGTCGGCTTGCACCCTCTTGTTGAAGAGGGAAGAGAAGAGGAAGCCAAAGCCTCGGCTTATATGGGAGGGCTACTGGGGTTTATGTAGGCCCAGGGTTAACGTACTGGCCGGGATTTGGGCTTTAGGGGCTTTGAGAGGTGAGGGTTAACTAAGGGTTTCATGGGCTACGTACAACGACCGCTAGATGGTTGCAGAAGCGCCGATATCAGCTCGTCCAAGGCTGTCAATCTAGATTTCTACAGTGACAACTGAAAATGAAGGCTCTGCAGCCTGAGGTCATGCCGCGGATTTGGCTCTTGACTGCGGGGTCTGGGGTCGTTTCGGGTTTTCGAGGCGTTCAGAAGGCTTAGGGTGTATGGGCTTAGCAGGGGTAGGCTTTAGGCGGTTTATGTTTAGGCATCAGGGTTTAGTGGGTTGCGGTCGGTGTCTCAACTGTCAAACTACCGGAAACAGTTCCAACAAAGACCTCGTAGCCTAGGTGCCCCTTAATAATAAGGGCACCCTACCCTGTTTCCCCTATTTGGCTTTGAAGAAGGGAGCCCAACAAGAAAAGTGGAAGAAAGCCAACTACTCAGCGACCTCGTAGCCTGCCAGCAAGGCCACCACGCCCAGGCAGACGGTGGCCACAAATGGCAAATTCGGGGCCTTCTTCGTCGGATACCTCGGCTGTTTAGGGTTTAGGGATTAGGGTTGAAGGTTTAGGGTTTTAGGGTTTACTTAACGGATGGGACTTAGTAACTATAGGGTTATAATTAAGATAACTATACGTATAATTGCTCATAGCCCCGATCAAGGTACTTATAACCTTACTTACTAAGTCCTATGACCCTCCAAGTAGGGTTTAGGGTTTAGGCCGGCATTCATGCGGATGTAAGGTTCAGGGTCTAAGGGTTCCGGGTGTCGGAGCCCTACAACCCAAAAACTCTAAATCGTGTAAACTCCAGATCCCTTCAGCCGTTTCGGATTAACGGCTCGGGATTCAGAGTTTAAGAACTAAGACCTCGGACTTATACCTACTTGTCGGGTATCATGGGGAACTCAAGTTTAACTTTTTTGGGTTATATAGGGATTATATAGGGACTATACTGCCCAAAAATAAGTTAAAGGTTACCTATCCTACTCTATTACTAGGTAAACAATGTGAAGCGCGGAGAGCGCAAACGAGTAGTCATGCATAGAAAACTCGGCACCAAAGCAGCAGTGGTGCACTCTCCGTCTTCCTATGCCGAAGTTGGGCTCTTCAGAGTCAGAGTATCTCTGCGCAGTGACAGCGGCCAAGGAGGCCATGAATTCAGCGTCGCGGCTGCCCTGCGCAGCAGGCCTGGGCCCCGTTTAGGGAAGAGTAAAGTTTACCCATTTTATGGGCTCCCAAATAGAAAGTCGTAGGACACCCAAGCAAAGCCCCTATAGGGCTTAAAAGTTCAAACTTCCAGAATAAGACGAAAGTTTGGTTTTGGACCAATGCAAGAAGCAGTAAAAGCATCCTTTTTATGGGCTCTCAAACTATTTTCAGTCTTAGGACACCCAAGCCACAAAAGCGGCAAACCAAAAAGATCTCCAAGATCGACCAAGAGGCCGCCTGTACATCTACCAAGCGCCATGGACTTGAGAAGTCAAGCAGCGGCGAGTTGGGGGTGGGGCCCTTCTGTTGCACTCCCTGCACCTTCTTGCATGAGGCCTTTTTTTTGTAAGGGCCATGCACAAGAAGCCATTCACCAGACCATCCCGGAAGCATTCAACTTTTCAGGGGGCTTTGGCAAGAAATGCGCAATCGTTGAAACCCAAACGCTCGCGAGCTCTCTCAGTGTTAGGGTTTAGGTTTAGGGTCTAACACCTGGGTCACCAGCGACAAGAATTGAGGCTTTTGACAAAGAGCTCTTGTCCCGAGGCAGCAGCATTCCCTGCAATGAAGCACATGATGATGTTGGTGAAAACCTGCAGCGAGATTTTCTTGACAAACTGAGCTGAAGCTTTCGCTTGGATTGTAAAGCAACAGAAACATGGGCTGCGGCGGGGATTGTAACAAACCATGAACGGCATTCTCGTAGTCAGAATTCGTGCAAACCGAACAGCAGCAGCCCTTACATGACCGGCGTGCTCCGATGGACAAGCTTATTTCAGATCTGTGGCTTAACTCCGGGTCCCCTTGGCAAAAACTCTTGTTGTCATCGCACTTGCCAAACATCCAACAGAACGAAATAAATCAAACAAACACACACACACACACACACAGATATATACATATATATATATATACATTATCGACATAGGGCAACATAGGGCAAGGTCGGCCCAAACTGTAGTGGCTTCTCAAAAGTAGACTTCCATCCTAAGCCCAGACGCGACCACGCGACGCCGGTCTGAGGGGGGATTGAGGCCTATGATGTGCCGAGTATTGCAGTAGCATTCTGAGAACAAACATGTACTCTGTGCGTGCGTGTATACATCTATACATACATACGTACGTACATACGTATATACATACATACATACATGCATACATACATGCACAGGTGCTGGTATATACATTTATATACAGAAGTATACACTCTTGTCTGTCCATACCTGTTGTCTTTACATAGTTATTTGTCTGTGTACTGGTTTGATGGCTCACAATCACATCAGTTTCAATTATTCGAGAATCTGCAACGGTCCTCGTTCGTAGCAATGGCGAGGAGCAGCCGCACCTTGCTCAGGAGCTGTGTCTCTTGAATAGGCCCAGATAGGCTTTGGGTTTCCGTGCTTATGCGTTCCAGATGTTTTGCGACAGGGCCCAGCCTGGACCCACCAAATATTGTGCCTGTTTGTCTTTCAATGTTGTATTCAGTCTGTAGATCTCCTATCAAAACCCGACTATAACCTGGAGGTACGCCAATTGCAGTTCCTCTGCTCCCTTCATCCTACAAACACGCTGAGCCGGGCAAGTCTTTGGTGCAAATCCACAGCAGTCGACAGCACACAGAGCCAGGTTGTGGCTACAAACTGCCGAACTTTCGCCAATACTAGGAAACCCTACAAGCCCCAAGCCCCGAAACCCCATCGCCGAAAAGCTCATGGAATGCAAAGCCTCTCTATCTGCAGCTAGAAAGAGCAGCCGGACGTCCCAAACATCCAGTGCCCCTTGAGCCGTTTAAGGACCTTCGTTGGTTCCCTTTTCTTCATGGCGGATTTAGGTTTAGGGTTTAGGCTTTACGGCGTCGGTTCACGATATGGCTAATGATCTGAATCTGGGAGCGAGGCAGGTGCCACATCCCACCAAGGAGCCTGTCGGCTTTCGGTCTGGCTTTCGGTAGTGTTGGTTTAGGCTGATTATAGAATTTTCCAATTTTACAATGGCAAACATACGGGCGACTATGACGTTCCAGTTTGGAAAGCTTGTTTTAGGATTTGGTGATGTTGATTGGCCTTGGAATTTGGAACTTAGGTTATTTAAGGCTTTGGACGAGAGGTTCTGGAAGAGAACCCCTGGCTAAGTACAATGTGGCTCTTGGGAGCTGGCAGGTTTAGCATTCACGCATAAACAGATCTCTAGGAGTTTCCGCCTCCAATTCTTCGAAGCTTAAATGTAAGGATTCTTAGGTCCCAAAAGGACCCCCAAGAAGGGACCCCTAGTTTTCTGAGAGTCCAATCCGACAGCTGTCAACGACACCTCTTCGTGCGAAGGCTTCAGCATGCCATGCCTGAAGAAAGGCTTGATCTGAATGCCGTAACTGCCAATCACGTCCAGCCCACCGTTTATGGATTCATAGGGCCTGAACCCTAAGCCACAAACACAAAATCGCCAAAATGCCTGAACAGACCCCTCAGCCTCTTCGTCTTCCAACTCCTCGTCCAGTGCTTTGGACATGGCGCGCGTGACGTCCTCGCCCGAACTTTCTCAAAGGATTTGAGGCTCAAAGTTTCGGAAATCACTACTACGAGGTTGGAAGAATCATCTTATTTCCTTCTATATAAAGATACTGGATCTGAGTGAAGGGTTCGAATATTTGGGCGGCATCAAGGTTTCGAAGCCCAATCGTTGGAGTCGGGACTGGCTTCAGCGTTCAGGCATACCTGTAGCAGGCTGGAGTGAGGCACTTTGAAGGAGGAGTTAAACTTCCGGGGGTCATAGATGTTATAACTTATAACATACACCAGTACAAGGTGTCGTAGATCTGGCAAAATGCAGGTAATTGCAAGTATAAGAATTCGGGTTCCATATTGTGGCCGGGTCGATGGTAAGAAGCTAGGATACCCAGTAACCTAAGAATAAAAAGTCCTCTCTTTTTTGGTATTGCGTAACTTTATAAGGAACCTAGGACTACAAAAAGGGAATAAGGGTACTACTGGGCATCCTAGCTTCGCCAAGAGCCAACACCTCCCAGTCAGTCGCAACTGTTCGGCCAGAGTGAGTCGACCCAAAACCTCAACTTAAGCCTCAATCCCTAACTCGACTTAGGGCTTACGGTTTAGGGACCCAAACCCCTGAATCTAAGCACTAATCCCTAGCTCGACTGTGAATTTCTGGTTTGGGGTGTTAAGATGTCAAAACAGACTGACAGTGACATGTAAGGGAATGCCATCTCCCCAAAGCTTACAACCTCCATTGTAGGGAGCTTGAGGGCTTAGGGGCTTTAAGGGTTTTGGGTTTGGGGGGGCTCCGACTTTTCATTGAAATCCACCCTGAAATACGTCGAACTTCGAAGAACGCACAAGGGCCCAAACTCCCGAATGGCTCGCCTGTCCAAACATTGCAAGCCCCAAGGAGCCCTAAACCCTAAACGCTTAAAGCCTACTTTGGGGGATCATGGGACTTACTACAGCAGGACGAAAGTTCGCCATACAACATGAAGCTGAGAGATCACCACATGTTCACCCCTGTTCCCCCGTAGAATCCTAGCACAACCCCGCAAAGCTCTCCGCCGGAAACTATATACTAGTATATAAGTTTATTCCCGGAAAGTAATTACTCCGCCACGCTGGCCACGTAAAATGGGTCTTGGGGCTCTCCGCCTCTCCGCGGCATACATCTATGTTATAATAGCTGCATGTCGAAACTTTCGGCCCGGTGGTGATTCTGGAATCATGGCTGATCCTCCCAACCGAGCCAGGACATGTGGCTTTAAGGTCGGGGTGAGGCAGTGTCATTTGCTTAAAAAAAGGGTCACGGCAATGCATGCCCGGTACTAAAGTTTCGTCGCATTCGTTAGCAACACTGAACGGAGTACGCAGTGGATGTCGTTATCTTTCCGCAATGCTGGACTGCAAGCCCCGAATTGCCCGCTACCGCAGGACGAAAGTTCGCCATACAACATGAAGCTGAGAGATCACCACATGTTCACCCCTGTTCCCCCGTAGAATCCTAGCACAACCCCGCAAAGCTCTCCGCCGGAAACTATATACTGGTATATAAGTTTATTCCCGGAAAGTAATTACTCCGCCACGCTGGCCACGTAAAATGGGTCTTGGGGCTCTCCGCCTCTCCGCGGCATACATCTATGTTATAATAGCTGCATGTCGAAACTTTCGGCCCGGTGGTGATTCTGGAATCATGGCTGATCCTCCCAACCAAGCCAGGACATGTGGCTTTAAGGTCGGGGTGAGGCAGTGTCATTTGCTGAAAAAAAAGGGTCACGGCAATGCATGCCCGGTACTAAAGTTTCGTCGCATTCGTTAGCAACACTGAACGGAGTACGCAGTGGATGTCGTTATCTTTCCGCAATGCTGGACTGCAAGCCCCGAATTGCCCGCTACCGCAGGACGAAAGTTCGCCATACAACATGAAGCTGAGAGATCACCACATGTTCACCCCTGTTCCCCCGTAGAATCCTAGCACAACCCCGCAAAGCTCTCCGCCGGAAACTATATAATAGTATAAGTTTATTCCTGGAAAGTAATTACTCCGCCACGCTGGCCACGTAAAATGGGTCTTGGGGCTCTCCGCCTCTCCGCGGCATACATCTATGTTATAATAGCTGCATGTCGAAACTTTCGGCCCGGTGGTGTAGTAACTACCCTAAACCCCTAAACCCGAGACTCTGGGGATCATGGGACTTAGTAAGTCAGGTTCTCAGTACCTTAATCGGGGATATAGGCTATTATAAGTATAGCTTCCGTAATACTAGCGCCAGTTGCGAAGTCCCATGACCCTTTGAGTACAGCCTAAACCCTGAAAGCCCCAAGCTACTCTCCACCGAAAAAACGTCCTCTGCCGCATCGACGAGCTGGCCTCAGAAGCTTGCCAAGCCGGTTTAGGGCTTTAGGGTTTTGGGTTTCCTTTAAGGAATCTCCAAGAGATTTTTTCAAGTTCCTTGAAGGAATCTATAAGTGTGAGGTGTAGGGTTTGGGGTTTCGGATTCAAGGGTTTGGGGTCGAGAGTTTATAGGGTTTCGGCTTAAGAGTTTTTAATTTAGAACTTTTCTGTAACCCAAAAGTAGGTAACATAATGGACCAACAACCTTCTAAGTTCAGTTTTCTACAGACTTTTGGGGCCCTAAGCCTATTGTGAGGCCTGAGAGCTTAGACATCAGGTTTCGATGTGTTGAGTGCAACTTGGGGCAACTCCCATTTTGGGGTTCAGTGCCGCGGCCCTCGGCCCAAAACTCGGA